AGACAGAAACACAACCCATATTTCCTTTAGAACTGGTACAGGGCATTTCTGGCTGCTACCCGGGGAGGTAGGTAATCCACACACACCCCAGTATCACAATGCCATAAATATGAAAGAGTGAAAATTAAGTATACATACGAGATCTGTCGTCGCCTCTTCTATCAAGGCCTGTGCCAGACAGTGGAAAAAATTGGCTACTGGAAAATTTAAGGTAAATAGAAAAATCAGACAACCCAGGAAGAGGCAGAGTGGGAGGGAGAGCAAAGAGAACTCAGACCGCACAGCAAAAAATACACAGATGCTGAATATTTTGCAGCTGAACACCTGTGGAATAAGAAATAAGAAACTTGCCAGACTGCTTAACAACCACAGGGTGCACGTGGCTGCCCTACAAGAAACTCTGCATAAAGACTTTGATCTGCATCACACTGGATGTACTAGTTACACCTGTAAGTGCAATGACTGCCGGGGCATAGTGACCTATATCAGAAATGAAATACAAGGAGATGTAACAATGCTATCGGCATCTCACCCTACAGATGTGCAAAAAATAACTATCTGGCACAATAGAAGCCAATATATGATATACAACGTGTACAGCCCACCTCAGACAACATGCAACATACCAAAATTATACAAGACACAGTACCACAAAACCCTTCTTGTTGGTGACTTCAACGGACACTCGCCACGTTGGGGTTACCTTGACTACAATAGCACAGGGAAATACATTGAAGATACTTGTGAAACAACTAACCTATTAGTGCTGCAGGACACAGAGTCTACACCTATACTGTTACACAGGGCCCACCTATCTCTCAGCCGACCTGATCTGACCATTTGCTCATCCGACTAAGCAGACACAAGCTATCCCCAAGTCCTGGGCGACATAGGAAGTGACCACAAACCAATACTTACAACTGTAAGCACCCCCGCTAAGTTATGCTTCAAACATAAAACCCATTGGAATTTCAGAAAAGCAAACTGGAAATTGTTTCAGGAAACCTCTGACTGCCCTCCTGGGAAGAATTGACAACAGCTGTGTGGAAACGTTTTGTGAAGATATAACAGAAGCAATCCTGAGTGAAGCGTTGAAAGCCATCCCAAGGGACAGCCGGAAGGCATAAACCTTTCTGGAATAAGGACATTCAAAATACTATATCTGAAAGGAATAAAGCAAGAATATTACTTGAAACTGCACATTCAACAGAAGCAAAAAAACAATACAATAAAGTATGTACCAGAGTAAAGCTTGAAGTTAATAAGGCTAAAAAAGAGATAAATGGACAGAAACTTGCTCCAACTTAGACCTTAGACAGAATGGAAATAAAGCATGGACTTTAGTTAAAAACCTCTCTGAAGAAAGTAGAAGGAACCCAAAACCAGTGACAGAAAGGAGTAAGACAATCACTGAAGACAAGAAGAAAGCAGAACATTTCAATCATTATTTTGCCTCGGTTAACAGAGCAGGTAAGCTGTCAGAAATCGATAGAACACAGCTCTCCCAGCTGAAGAAACAAGAGAGAGCTCCAACAGCCAGCGACTCCCATTTTTAAGATGAATTTACCATGGATGAATTAGAACAATCCCTGAAGAAATTGAAACCTAGAAAATCCCCAGGTCCAGATAAGATCCACAATGAAATGCTGCTACATCTTGGCCGGTCTGGGAGAGAAGTAGTTGTCAGGCTTATTAATACGACATGGAGATCAAGCAAACTTCCAAAGGCATGGAGGAATGCATATATTGTCCCCATACTTAAAACCAAAAAGCCCCCAGATGACCCCAAAAGCTACCCCCCCCCCCCCTTGCCAATATCCTTGCCGAAAGAATGATAAACAGGCACTTGTATTGGTTCCCAGAGAGTTCTGGTGTTCTATGCCATGAATTGGCAGGCTTCAGAACCAACAGCAGTACAAAAGACCAGTTGTTCAGACTGACACAAAGAATACATGACGGTTTCCAGAATAAGAAGCATACAGTGGAAATCTTTGTCGACCTCCAGCAGGCCTATGACAGAGTATGGAGAAAAGGTCTCTTGATGAAGATGATGAGCATAAGAATACATGGCAGACTGTATAACTGGGTGAAATACTTTCTGATAGATAGAACAATCCAGACTAAGATACACAATGCAATCTCATCTAAAGAAATCTTGGAGGAGGGCTTGCCACAAGGCTCATCATTGAGCTGTACACTGTTTCTAATCTTTATCAATGACTTGCCAGAACAAATCAAGGCCGAAAAAGCCTGCTGATGATCTAGCAATATGGCAGAGTCATGAAAATGTAGAAAGTGGAGCCCAAAGACTAAATGGAGATCTTAGAAGACTGCATGAGTACTGCTAAAGATGGAAACTCAAGGTTAACTATACAAAGACGGTCTACACAATCTTTACCAAAAGCCATCAAGTAGCAAGGAAGGATATTAACCTGAGGTTAAACAAACACCAGGTTATGAAAGAAGAGCATCCTACACACCTTGGAGTCACACTTGACCGGCAGCTCAGCCTCAAGAACCATATTGAAAATGTCAGGAACAAGGCACTGAGGCGGTTACAGTTATTAAAGAGACTTGCAGGTACAGCATGGGGATCAGACAAGGAAACCCTGAGGGGCTTATATCTTGGATATGTTCGCTCTGTGATAGAGTACAACAACTCACTGCTCCAAAACTAACCTAGAGACTATTGATAGAGTACAAAATAATGCCCTCCTATTAATCTGCGAAGCTATGCGGTCTATTCCAACTGCTGCACGTGAAATCCATACAAATGTGGAACCCATCGGGTTGCGGAGAGAACAAGTCACTTTAAAAATGTATGAAAGATGCGTCAGAATGAATCGTAACCATCTAATAGACACCTTGTAGAAAACTGGAAATGCAAACAAAGAATTAAGCACAAATCAGTTTTACACTGTGTTCATGAAATACAGGACAGATACCACCTCCCAGAAAGACGTCAAGGCGTTCAGAATTTTGCAAGAAACCTACCAATACATGCTCGCTCTAAAGCTCCAGAAGTCCGAATGAAATTGGTAGGCGAGGAAACCAAACAGTCCGACCCAATCGCTCTTATGAACTCATCGCTAAAGACCATTGATTCTTACCCCCAAGAATGGATACATGTTTATACTGATGGATCTGCATTTAAAGCTACTGTTAAAGCAGGTTACGGAATCTACATAGGTTATCCTGATGGATCTTTTGAAGAGCTTTTTGATGCATGCAGGGAATTCTAAATGAAGCTAAACTAATTGCACTGGAAACAGCAGTATACAATCTATAGTCTGTAATGGATTTTACCCTTCAAAGGCCCAAAATATTGTCATCTTCACAGATTCAATGTCTGCCCTTCAAGCTCTGGAGGGCAGTGAATGCTGCAGAACTGACATAGCCAGGATAATTCTAGATGCTGATCAGCTTATTACCTCATACAACATCAGAACAGTGATGCAGTGGATTCCAGGCCACTTTGGCAATGACAAAGCTGACAGACTGGCAAAGAAAGGAGCAACATAAGAACAACCACCTACAGCAACAACCCTACACACAGCAAAAACACTTATAAAAGCTATAAACAAAGAGACTTGGTTGAACGGATGGGCCATGGAAGACACTGGAAGAAAGGTTTTTAGACATATGGCTGGCCCTGATCCTAATGACATCATCAACCATCTAACAAGAAAGGACCAGGCCACCATCTTCAGACTTAGACACAATATACTCCACTCAGTGGACATCTAAACAGAATACAGCCACAGCACTCCCCAGAGTGCCAGCTATGTAACTACCCCTACGAAACTGTTGAACACCATCTCTTTGAGTGCCCAAAACTCAGCGAGACTAGAAGGATGCTATTTCCTCCAAGACGAGACAAGTGGAAGACCTTGTACGGAGAAAAAGAACAGCTTGCGAAAACATGCAAATTCCACTACATGGCTTTGGGCCAAAGGGCGAAAGATCATGCGCCGCTGGATCGATAACAACAACAATATAACAGCTCACAGAAGCCAGCTTTAGGCCTCAGAAATGAGGCATCTGAGAAATATTGTCCAAGTGACAAGAAGGGACAAAGTTTGTAATCAGACAATGCCAAGGTCTTGAAACCCAGGCCTCGACTGGATCAGTCACAGTGATGATGGTCTGGACATGAATGCAGAATGGGAGATAATCAGCTACCACAGCAGGCATGGGAGATAATCAGCTACCAAATCAGGCAGGGGAGATAAACAGCTACCACAGCAGGCATGGGAACCAGACCTCTAGGAAGATCTTGCTGGGAAGACATCTAACAGTCCCTGGTTGACAGAGGTGGAATGGAATAAAGCCACAAACAAAAACTACACCATATGGTTTTTCTAAATTAAGTAATGTTCACTACTGTTTACATAAAAAAAGGTGTTCTGGTTTTCTCATTTGTGAGAATTAAAAGATGGTTTTATAATGTGTATAGCAAGACTTTAATTTTTTTTTACAGACAAAACATCTCTGATGTCATAAAGATGGCAGGCACCTTTAGGGCCCCAGGCAAAAGCCAGGGTGGGGCTACAAAATAACTAAAAATTACATCCCAAAAGGGGATTACTGTATATTAATTACCCTGATATATCTGACTGACTGACTGACTTTCTACCCCACCAGGACATCACACAAGTGATAAACACCCGATGACACAGAGTGCCACCATGTGGATGAGGATCACCATGGAGAGGTCCCAAAAACTGCGTTCAGCCATTAGGCCAGATTTATGGTTGGGCTATATTGCGGCCCCTGGCATGAGCCAGAGTGGGGCTTTAAATAACGAAAAATCGCATCCTTAAAAGGACGGCAAGATAGAATATGAGTACTGATATATCTTTGCTGAAGATATAATAAGATTAACAGGAAAGTTGAAGAAAAAAAAACAGTTTCAGAAATAAATAGTCTGAAAGATGAGAAAAAGAATGTAGTCAGTAAAAGTATAAGAAAGCATTATCACAGAAACAAACTAATCATACCATTTTTTCCACAGTAACTGCGGTTGAAACCATTCTCATTAATGGCAGTGACAGAACCAACATCAGTGCCATGAAATAACCTCTGCTCGTTGTTATGTCCCTTTGGATTGCGATGGTCCATCTCACGTTTCTTTGCCTTGAATTGTTGATAAAGTGATTTGTTCTGTATCCTCTCAATCTGCAGGGTTTATGAATTTTATCTTTATTACTGGTTTTATCACAAAATTACCACTATTCATGTTAACACTACATGGATCAAACTATATAAGGTTAAACAGTTGTGTCAGCAACCTTATATATGCCATAATGACATATGTCTCATGCTGTAGGCCCGTGACAGATAATCTACCTCAAAACACACTAAGCCCAACACCTACAGAGCACACAACCTTTAATGTACCGAACAATATAACAGACAGTAGTTTGCCTGAAAAGTAGTGGGCATCACTATCCAAAACAAAGGCTGATTTGATCTGATTTGATTTGATTCAAGAACTAACATAACAGCACTCGGGGCATTTCTATAAGTGCTCCGTCGCCATCTTCAGCAGCCAGCGAAGAGTTCCGATACTAATAGTGCAAGTAGCATTCTGATTAAACGTCGGTCTTGCCTTTCCTCTGAGCCTCGAGCATCTGCCAGAACCACTTGTCACTCCCTGCTGCATCAATCTCACCAGACTGTGGTGATCCATCCGCTCCTCAGAACTGTACACGCTCTCCCACAAGGCACTAACCACGTCTGCCTTATCCTGAATCAGTATTCCACCAAGTTGTGCAGAGCCAGCCAGTCTGTCCGCCTGTTCATTTCCTAACACAATGGCTTGCCCTGATGAAAAAATCCAGACAGCACTCCTCACCCGTGTCCTCCGCAGCGAGGCATGCCACTCTGCAAGAAGCATGCCTGTCCTGATCTTCTTCAGTATGCTTTCTGAGTCAGTTAGAATCACAATGTGTGTGTGTGTCGTGTTCTCTAGCCAGAAAAAAGCTGCAATGACCGCCTCCACCTCCATTCTTAAGCTGGATGTTGTGGTATCATATGCTAGGCTTTCCTGCACCAAACGTCAACCATTAACTTTTGCTAAGAAACCCCAAGCACTTCTTTTGCCTCTTGACATTGAACCGTCTATGTAAATGATCAAATCTTCTGAGCGAGCATTATCTTGAATTAACTGATGAATTTCCACCTCTGTGGCACCTGCTGGCCATTCTCTGCATTCCCGGCTCAATATGATTATCACCTTTCACTCCTATTATGTTCCCATGGATAGTACCTAAATCCGAACTACCATAAAGGTTACAGAATTTACATATGGATCTGTTGAAGAAGGTGTTTTTTATGCATGTGGGGAACCATCACAACTCTCTACAGTCACACTGAAATTAATTAAAATCACTCAAGGTTAGGATCAACTCTGCAAACATTGTCATCTGCAAGTAAATACATGCAGTGCAGAATATGGATTCAATTTTCATTACTGCCTGTTTATACCACATTGTTAGGGTGATATTGGAAGGCGGTTGATGGGGGGAGGGGGGGGGGGGACAAGTTTGGCCCTGTGAAAATAGGGCTGCATGGCTAGTGCAGTCACCATGGACAGAAGAGGTTAGGATGTTATTTTTGCTCCAAACAGAAATTAAATAAAAATATCCTAATACAAAAAAATGGATTAATTAGCACGTAAAGAGTGGTCAAGAGTGAATATCTTTGTAAAATAGTAAAATGAAGAAATATTATAACAAGCATTAAGCTTCTCCTGTCTTGGATGTTTAATAGTATCTTGGCAGAAAAGAAATATAAACCAAACAGAGAATAGGAATGGCCAAACATATGTTCAGCAACACAAGAAAACTTTTAACATCTAGAAAGATAAACAACACATTTAATAAAAAAAAAAGCTTTATCAATTGCTGAGTACAATAAAACCAGAGATTTACATAATGAACAAGCAATTAGAAAGTGAAATTCAGGTCAATGAGAGGTAGGTATAGAGAAGAACATGTTGTATTTCATGGAAACAAAAACAATCAATTAAAGATGTTATCCAAAGGCTGACAAGTGAAATTATTTGCTGAAAAAGGATTTTAAAAGACAAGTGAAATATTTTGACCCCATTAAATTTATAAACCTTTTTTAAAAACCATTATGAATCTAAATGTTAAAGGCAGGTGAGTAATAAAGTTGTAGGAAGATGTTAAGAACTGGGCATGTAGCAGTCTGTCAGGGTGAGAAGAGGTAAAAAAAAGTGTTTGAGATCATTAGCAGGCAAACTTTCTTGTAGAGATGGCACTTGATTTTTTAGTCATTAGTTGAAGTTTTAACATCACTGCAGATGGGTCTTGCCTCATAACTACTCCATTCTAGTGCCAGTGGACATCATCGAACAAAATTTATCTCGCTGTCCCATCTGAAAACCAGTCCCAGCTAAATTTTGAAGCTTGCACATGCAAAGTAAAAATGCATAAGGCAGTTTTCAGATGTGCCAACACTAACAGTCCCACACCAGAACTGGAGCTCACTCTTGGTGCAAACAGTTAATCACAAAAGCCAGCATTGCATCCGGAAAAGTACACATCATTCTGAACATAATCCGCCACACATACATTTGGAGCAGACAACAGTAAGCCACGAGCACCACAGTGGAAAAACATATCTCGCAGTTCAGTGTTGGATTGAACGCGGTAGCAAGCTGATGGAACCTTTGAGGTCATGGTTTAAACATGGGGAATTTTCCTCAGCAAAACTTTCTTTTTAAAGTCCATGCCATGTGGCATTGGTAGTCTTGTCCACTCCACAACCTTCTGTCTCGTGTACTTTCAATTAACTCTGACACAGATGATGTTCCATGCCATGATGTTAACTTGTCCAGCATCTGTTCTCTCTGTCTCCCTCTGCCTCTTTTCCCTTACAGCTTTCCTACTGTCATGATGTACTCCAGTTTTCTCCTTCTCATCACATGACCAAAGAATGCAAACTGTCTCCTTCTGATGTGGGCAATCAGTTCTCTTTGTGAGTCAGTTTCTTTCAAGACTTCCTAATTACTCTTTTTATCTGTCCAGCGTATTCTCATCATTCGTCTATAAAACCCCATTTTCACAACTTATTATTTTCAGAGTACCATTGTAACCATCCTAAAAGGCACCTTTTAGAAAACTAGAAATACAAAGAAAGAATACAGCATAAATCGGTTAACACTGTGTACATGAAATACAGGACAGATACCGTCTCAGAGAAAGATGTCAAGGCATTCAGGATGTTGCAAGGAACCTACCACCACATGCTCACTTTAAAGCTACAGAATTCCAAACGAAATTGGTAGATGAAGAAACCAAACAGTCTGACCCACTTACCATTAGAAACTTATTGCTAAAAACCACTGATTCCTACCCTGAAGAATGGATACATGTTTATACTGATGGATCTGCATTCAAAACTACCATAAAGGTTACAGAATTTACATATGGATCTGTTGAAGAAGGTGTTTTTTATGCATGTGGGGAATTCTGCTCAAATTTTGAAGCAGAAATAACTGCACTGGAAACAGCAGTTTACCACACCTAAAGACTGTAATGGATGTTTATCCTTCAAAGGCCCAAAATATTGTCATCTTGACCAATTCAATGTCTGATTTTCAAGCTCTGGAGGGCAGTGAAAGTTGCAGAACTGATATAGCCAAGATAATTCTGGATGCTGATCAGCTCATTGCCTCATACAACATCAGAATAGTGATGCAGTGGATTCCAGGCCACTCTGGTACACCAGGTAAAGACAGAGATGATAGGCTGACAAAGAAAGGAGCAATACAAGAATAACCACCTACAGTGACAACCTTACAGACAGAGAAACACGTATAAGAGCTAAACAAACAGACTTGGCTGAACTGAAGGGCCATGGGAAATACTGGAAGAGAGGTTTATAGATATATGGCTAGCCCTGATCCTACGACAGCATTAGCCATCTAGCAAAAAGAGACCAGGCCACCATTTTCAGACTTGACTGAATGATTTGGTTCAAGAACCGACATCACAGCACTCTGGGTATTTCCATAAAGGCCAGTAGCCAGCGAAGAGTTCAGATACTAATGGTGCAAGTAGCATTCTGATTAAACGTCCATCTTGCATTTCCTCTGAGCCTCGAGCATCTGCCAGAACCTCTCGTCACTCCATGCTGCATCAATCTCACCAGACTGTGGTGATTCATCTGCTCCTCCGAACTGTACACGCTCTCCCACAAGGCACTAACCACGTCTGCCTTATCATGTATCAGTATTCCACCAAGTTGTGCAGAGCCAGCCAGTCTGTCCGCGTGTTCATTTTCCCAACACACCGGCGTTACCAGTGAAAAAATCCAGACAATACTCCTCACTTGTGTCCTCTGCAGCGAAGCATGCCACTCTGCATAAAGCATACCTGTTCTGATCTTCCTCGGCATGATTCTAAATCAGTTACAATCACAATGTGTGTGTGTGTTCTCTAGCCAGCGGAAAGCTGCAGTGACCGCCTCCAACTCCATTCTTAAGCTGGATGTTGAAGTATCATATGCTAGGCTCTCCTGCACCACACACTGACCATTAACTTCGCTAAGAAGCCCCAAGCACTTCTTTTGCCTCTTGACACTAAACCGTCTGTGTAAATGATCAAATCCTCTGAGCGAGCATCATCTTGAATTAATTGCAGAATTTTCACCTCTGTGGCACCTGCTGGCCAGTCTCTGCATTCCCGGCTCAGCGTGATTATGACTCTACACAAGTCTGACTGTTCAGGTGACACTTTGACCCACTCTTCTCCTCGCATAATATTTTCAAGGATGCAAACCTGTCTGACTGTGTCTTCTGCCTGAGGCATCCATCAGCCGCTGACCCTTAACTGTATCCAGAGCTTCATGCAGAGGGTCTGTGTCTGCAGCATGACTTCGCCTGCAGCACCTTGTGCCTGCCTGCAACCATCGGCAAACCAAGGATGCATCGCATACACACCACTGGGGTGTCTCTGGTGCAACCCAGAATGACCCGCATTGCCGTGTTGTAAATGCGCTCTAGTTTGTCCATCTGACTCTTTGAGACGGTAAGCAGTCCCAGGCCATAATCAACCACTGACAGGATCAGGTGCTGATATAGTGTGAAAAGCATTCTCTGTTCTATTCCATGGCAGCCATAGTCTTAAGTGCACTAAGTCCTTTTTGGCATCTCGTCACAACACTCTTCACATGGTCCTTAAATGACAGGCTCCTGTCAAATGTAATTCCCAGATACCTCAGTTTGCTCTCTCTGTTGATGTTTCTACCATCTATCGTGAGACTTGGGACATTGGCTTAACGATTCTGTTGTCCAAAGAACACCACAAAACAGACGCCTTTTGCTGGTGGACGACAGCCCTAATTTCTGTACACCACCCAGTCACCCTGTCTACTGTTGCTTGTAGCTCCTGGGCTGTTTGTTCCCCCTGCCTTTATGCAAGTATATCATCCGCAAAAGTCAGTATCCTTCCAACTCCTGGTGCCTCCATGCTTGCGATCTTGCTTGTATACACGTTGAAGAGCACAGGCGAGATGGCGGATCCCTGTGGCAGTCCTGGGGCTAAAGTGCATGGTTCTGAGGTCCATGAGCCCAGTCGGAAAGCAACCAGACGTGAATACAGGACAGTTGCAACCCAATTCACCAGCCATGGACTGATCTCCTTCTATCTCAGTGCAGTCATTAAAGTGTTGTATCTCACTCTGTTATAAGCATCCTCGAGATCCAGTATTTTCAGACTTAAAGCACAACATATTCCACTCAATAAGCATCTAAACAGAAAACAGAACACTCCCCAGAGTGTCAGCTAAGTAACTGCCCCTACAAAACTGTTGAACTCAGTGCCCAGAACTCAGCAAGACTAGAAGAATGCTAGACTCTCCGAGACCAGACAAGTGGAAAATCTTGTACGGAGAAAAAGAACAGCTTGTGAAAACATTAAATACCACTACTTGGCATTAAGGCCAAAGGGCGAAAGCTCACACAACCTTGGATCCATAACAACAGAGTACCAGCAGTTATTTTGGCCAGAAGTCACTTTTCAGTTATTAAATGAAGTAAGAAGGTAATCACAGCAGATATGAAATTCAGAAAACAAGTATGAGTGACCCACATGATTGAGAGGTTAAAAGTAAGAAATGAAGGGAATGCACGTCACTGTCACTGTCTGATTTGGGCAAAATCACACATTAACCGCCTTACTTCTTAAAACATTTCCTGCAGCATTACAATTTTACAATACTAACAATCATATACCTTTTTGATAGGGATATTTGCCGCCCCACCCTGGATAAATCGTTTTTCTACTGTCTGAAACTCTGGACTCCCAGCTTGCAGCACCACTAATTTTAGATTCTCATCACTTTTCATACGCTCCCACTGTTTTGGCAGAGGTTCACCTTCTGTAAATACAAATAAATTCCAAGTGAATTGTCACAACATTAGTTAGTTAGTTAGTTAGTTAGTTAGTCTTTCCTCTTGTGTCGAGTGCGGCACATAGGGCAGAGGTCATGACTCTGCATGCATGGTGGTTCGTTGCAATCTGTTGTAGGTCTTGGATGTTTGAGTGGCCCATGAGCGAGCCTTCCCTGATGATAGTTCTACGTAGGGTTTCCCTTGGTCTTCCACGAGATCTTTTCCCCTGTGGTGTCCAAATGAGGGCTTGGTAAGGAAGTCTTGATTTATCCATTCTAAGGGTTTGGCCGACATAGTTCCAGCGGTGTTTTCGTATAAAATTAGACACATACTCTTGCCTGGATTCTTGCCTTATTTGTGTATTAAAACAACATTAAAAGAAGAAAAACACAGAAGTAAAAACAGAACTGTACATATGCTTCTGACCAAGGTTACAGGTTGACCGAGTCTAAAATGGGCTTATAAAACATGTCTTGGAAAGTAGGGCAGTCAACATGATGTTAACCATTTTTGCTAACGGTTGATACAAATATGGGTCTAGCAATATATACCCAATGTGCCATTTACATGAAAAGGCTCCTTTACTTACATTACTTACACATGCTTCAGAGATTACACAAAAGTATCTGACATTGGAAATTATTCAACCTACCAGAATAAAATACTGAGATCTGAGAGCAATAAAGAATACATTTCTACTGTAAAAAGCAGTTATGCGAATAATAAAAATTTAGAAACATTCAACATCATTATTTCCCACTGTTGCTGATATGTGTCATGGGGATGAATGATTGGTGGTGGTCCATTACTCAAAGAGTGGTACCAGCTATTGTCATTCTTTCATTGGAAAAAAGAGAAGTCACAATGAGCCAGAGCTAGGGTATATGGATGGTATGGAAGCAATGGGATGTTGTTTTTGCCCAAAAAATTCATTTGTGATCACAGACTTGTCATCACGATCATGCAGAATCCAGAAACCTGGTGTACCACTTCACAGGGTGATGCCTGCACACAGTCATGGAGGCATTGCAGGACTTTGAATCTCAAATGCTTCAGCCATATTAACTCTTTAAGGATGACTTTTTTTTCCAGGGTTTAGACAGCATTAATTTTGAGTGGAAGTGTTTTTTACCACAACATGACAAAGCTAAAACTTTACTTAAGACAAAGTATTGTCTGTATATAAAAAAAAAAAGCAAAGATCCTTTTTCACGCCTTTCTGGCCCATCCGGCATATGAGAAGAGCACCCATATTTTTATAGACCAATCAGCACTAGGTGGGTAATGTGGTCATCATTACGCCGGCCGTCTTCACTTGCCCAGGACATACATCCTGGTACTCATTTTAGGCTGGGTCGACCTGCAACGTCCCTTACAATGATAATATTCCGCGCAGCCAGCAGTGGATTTTGATCACAGTATGTCAGAATTACGAGTCGGACTCGCAACGCCTAAGCCACGGACGCCGCATTGGCTTTAGAGGGACATATAATATATAAAATTAAAGAGAAATGAGTGCAGAATACATCTGAACTATTTAAGTGTCAGTATTACAGCAAAATACTATTAAAATCACCCAACATTCAAGAATGTTAAGCAAACAGGAAGATTATTTACACAAAAAATGTTGTGCTTACCTTACCTTTTACTTGTTCAACAACACTGCTATCCATTTCTAAGAATTCATATGTCTCTTCTGTTCAATTATGTATCATCTAGTCTTTATTTGAAATAAAAGTAAAGTAAAGTAAAAGACCGGATCCACGCCATTCAGGCATATTGGGCATTTAGGGCTAGACCTATATTTTATAGACCAAACAGCACTTGATGGGTGATGTAGACAGCATCACACCGGCTGCCTTTACTTTCCAGGATTGTATCTGGTACCCACTCAAGGCTGGGTTGACCTGGGAGCTAAGGTCATTTTTGAAAAAAGTCATGCCCTGTCAGGAACTAAACCCATGACCTTCCAATCTGCAGGTGAGAGTCTAGCCACTAGACCAGGGCAGCTACCCTTTATTTGAAATTATTAATTTAAATACTTTGGATGTTACGATCATTGTTGTCTGACATGTCAAATTTCACAACCGAATTTCAGACACAGCTAATTGAAACAGAGATGATCCTGCTAACCTATTTTATTCCACTTCATCTTAAAGTATATTATCATCAATAAGTTTGGCACCTGCATTATCAATCACAATATCAAGACTATTGTCACTATCTAGCTGAGATTCATCAATGACAGAGCAGAATGATAATTGTATCACATCTAATTAATTAAAAACACATCTGAAAGTAATAAAAACATGACTCCAAACTTGGAAAACAAAAGGCCTTCGTTTCACTTATCCTACTTTTTCAAAACATCTTCACACAAATTCATTTTCCCAGCAAACAAAACAATGTTAGAGTGTCTCTATGAAGAGCCATTATAGTGGCATTTGGTCTAAACATGATGGATTCAAAAGCCACTAGAGAGGCATCTGGTCTGTAAAGAGTTAAACACTACAGTTGTTTAGAAAGATAATTTATGGAAGGTAGGTCTTCCCCAAGAAAAGACAGGAGCTGATGAGTAGCAAACAGGTAGATACAGGATATTTGTGACACAAGTGGAACAAAAATATATGCGGCTAAAGATTTTGCAAAGCACAGAGAATCTTTCTGGATGACTTTGATGGGAGCTATGTTCAGCAATGGACATGCCAGGTAATACTGAAGAAAATTACCATAAACGAGTGAATAATATTATGTCTCACCTTTTGTACGATCGTATCTCCTGACATTAAATCCCTGTCCATGTGGTGTTCCATTTTGTAATGGGAATTCTTTCATGGCAGAAAAATCAATCCGATAATTGCGACCTCTGGCATCGGTTATGTCATAGTGCAGTGATTTCTTCTTGTAGGCACTCTCCAGTTCACTGTTCAATCTACACATAAAATAATCACAAAACCAATCTGTGTATATTTATACAGACAGACAGACAGACAGACAGACAGACAGACGGACGGACGGACGGGCGGGCGGACGGACGGACGGACGGACGGACGGACGGACAGACAGACAGACAGACAGACAGACAGACAGACAAACAGACAGACAGACAAGACAGACAGACAAAGACAAGACAGACAGACAGACAGACAGACAGACAGACAGACAGACAGACAGACAGACAGACAGACAGACAGACAGACAGACAGACAGACAGACAGACAGACAGACAGACAGACAGACAGACAGACAGACAGACAGACAGACAGACAGACAGACAGACAGACAGACAGACAGACAGACAGACAGACAGACAGACAGACAGACAGACAGACAGACAGACAGACAGACAGACAGACAGACAGACAGACAGACAGACAGACATTAACACACACACACACACACACACACTCACTCACTCACTCTCTCTCACTTACTCACTCACAAACACACATACAAATTTATGTCACTCATTTTATGAAGCTTTAATAATACCCAAAGGTCAAGAAAAATCTGGCCTTGATGAAAATCTGAACCAAGAACTGGCAAAGAAACAAATGAACTTGGCACTTACCTACCAAGGCTGCTAAATTTAACTCTTTAACTCACAAGCAAATGCTACTTTAACCCTTTTTATTCCAAGGAGTTGAGTTTAAAAGTGGTTAATACCTACACTGAAGGAATTCCATAAGCACTATGGGTCAGAAGTATTAACATAAATGGTTCAAACAAAATATTAATATAAGGACTGTCTATAATAGAAGACAGCGAGAACATTATATTATTTCTGAAATTCCCAAAAATGTACAGTATTGAAAGAGTTCTTCTTCTTCTTGTTCTTTGCGTTCACCAGCCTTAAACACTGGCAGAAAGTTTTGGTTTTTCATCCACCTCTAGACTTAAGACTTATACCAGAACCGGAGTTTTGTGTGCACATCCATTTTACAGTTCTGACATTTGTATGCAGACTGTTGGTTCCTTGCCTCTCGGGCAAATGCACTCCGACTTCAAAGTAAATCCCCAATTAGTCAACTTTTACGACATGCTTTTTGGGGAGGCAGTGGGTCTCTTCTTGTTTTCTCCACATTGGGGCCCCAGAACTCACACAGGGAACTTAAACAGCTGACAAGTTATGAACATTTATAAATGAAATGTTGCCTTTTTAACTTACACAGGTTCAAAGTCCCGCCATTTCTCCTGCTCAAATTGCCAAATTACGGCAGATTTAACTGCCTGATGCAGAGACTTATGATGATCTTCTACAGAAGCAATCAGCTGAGAATTCAACAGTTTTTGGACAGTAATAATGCCATCTTTGTTAAAACTGCTCATTGTGACCAGACTCTCCTCTATACTGACATTCACCTTGACCTGATTTCTCCTTCCCTCTTCTTCCAGCTGTCGCACCTAAATGATTTAAACAACAACAAAGGTTAAATCCTAGCATTTAATTTCATTTAGTCAGTTAGTCGACAGGTTATCCTCATTCAGTACATAAGTGTCAAATCCCTTCCTAAGCAAATCCTGCTGCATATAGCGGCTAAAGACACTAAAGTTCTGTTAAGGTTTAGTTTTATTCTTTGGCTTCCTGCAGAATGCTTTTTTCTGGCCTCACCCCTTTGCACTTACTGTTCTTGTAGCCTGGTCATAGTTACTGACTCACTTATCACTTGATTCTTGCAAAATGTCTTTTCCTCACAATGCATTCCATATATCAGCTTGCTCATTTCATTTTACCAAAGTGTGCCCTGGCATGAAAATGAAACTGGTCTTTGTTGACTGTGACCCCTTCAGATGTTTCAACTACTGTCTTTAGTTCCATCTGTATGTAGAAAAGTACTTTTACCATACCTGAGTATTTTCACAAGTGCTGTAGTATTTTTTATAAACAGATCATACAAGCAGAATCCCAACATAGTAAACAAGCTCTGTAGCTCTAGCAATGATCAAAGTGTGCATAAACTAGAATCAAATATGTTATAAATACTATTTAGGTCTTCTTCTTATCAAATCCACCTTTACCTTAAAGCATCATGGGCAGGATTAGTTTAGTTACAGCAGGCACGTGGGAGGAGAAGAGAGGCAGAAGGAAACCACAAGAGATGTTGGACAGTTTGGCATCATTTCAGGTAAGAGCATCAGAAATGACTGACTGTACACAACATAGACGGCTTTGGGCAAACATGATTACCGACACCACACACTATAGACTATTAGAGGCTTTTTTAATTTGTCAGTTTTGCAAAGGCAATGATTTATTCAATGTCGTTTTTTCAATTTTCCGATTGCAAAGAAGTTATAATCTAGGCATAGGTCTCTGAGCTTTTTTACATTTGTCTGAGAAGGCCATTTGTCTCATCCACTGCATTAGAATCAGGAAGAGTATACTATAATTTGTCTGTTATGAAAAATCCAAACACTAAATGTTGTGGGACAAACCAAAAGAGCTTGAGTCAAAAGCAGCATCACAATCTATCATAATTTACTGTCTTTGAGAAAATATTAATGTTCACGGCCTGCCTTTCCCATGTGGTGGTCTGGAGAACAAATTTAAGGGGACTGTGATAACATTTACACACACAAACAAACAAACAAAATTCAAGGCTATCCTCCGAATAACGGGCACCAAAGATGGCGGCCGCAAAATATCCTGACGAGCCTCAGTCACGTGTCATGTGTTGTAAACATTTAAAAATTGAAGTCAAAACTAATAACGAACAAAAAAAATGTTATATCAAATCGACTACTTACCGATAATTTTATGCCTTTATATCTGGAAATTATCTCACAGAAGTTGTAAATACTGCCCGAAAATCTGCTGTTTGTGGGTGTTACGCCATTGAAACTCGGCTAAGTACGATCGGAACAAGGCGCGGCTCGTACCGGATAGGTAACGCAGATTTCTTTTTAGTAGCATCCACAAACCGGCTATCCTCCGAATAACAGGCGCAAAAGATGGCGGCCAAAAACAGGGCCTCAGTCACGTGTCAATTGCGCACTTCCAGCAACTTAATTTGCGGTTTTCCGGTGACTACCGCCACCGGCGAGAGTAACCCCCACGCCGCTAATGGGGCGTGGATTGGGGCTAGATAGCTAGGACTCACGATCAAAGCTGCAGGAGATGCGGAAGCTGCTGCTCATGGGTCCCAGCCATCTAGTTTAGCCCCATCCGCGCCGCGCATAGCGGCGCGGGGGAGACTCTAGGCAGCGAGTTTAACTCAGGGGTTTGTTACGTTTCTCGAATTTGTCAACAGACACTAATCCTAGTTTTCCCGCGATGTGCTTGTGACCGCAAGTGACTAAGCTCGTCAGGAATTTTGCGGCGGCCATCTTTGGTGCCCGTTATTCAGGGATAGCCAAATTCAACTTTCAAATGCAGTCTGGGAAAGCTAATCCAGTCAACAAATGACTGCAGATATTGGACGTGTCTGTTGAAAGGCAGAAATATCATAACCATGCTGTAAGCTGGCCAAAGCAATAACATCTTTGGATGATTCAGAAGAAGAAGAACATACTTTTATTTTTTTTTATAGAGTTTAATATTTAAAAAATTATCATATGTTGTTCAGTGTGAATGGCTACTAAAAAATATGGGGCCCTTGGCAGATCTTCAAAAATAACTGAGGTCCAAAGGTCTTAGCTACCTTAGAACCACTGAATGTGACCTTTCTTGAAAGAGTATTACATCCAGTTATTCAGTCCAATGACTGGTATAATGATTTTTTAACGTGTTATTAGGCCCTAAATCTAACTTTATGGCTGCCCCTACTATATACTATGGTTTTTTCCTTTCTCAAATATAGGTAGTGTCTGTTTACAAGTATCATTATAGAAAGGAAAAAAACATTTCCATAATAGCACGATTTATGCATACCTGATGTTTAGTAAATATCTTCAGCTGGTTTTTTTTATCTTTCTCTATCTTGAAAGCTGCCTTCACAACATCATTTAGTGCTTTGTTGGCATTGGCAATGGTTTTGTGACTGTCAGCGTAAATTTTCAAACTGACATGCTCAGAAACAGCTGTTGCAGTGTTTGAACCTCTGTCATCTAAGGAGAAAGAATAGCAAATATGTTAACTCGTTATGTCCCAGAGCAATGCAAAATGTGTCATTATGTGTTATCATGTAATTACATAAGACAATACATTATGTGCCATTCATTTAAATTCTTAGGGAGGTTTACATTTTTTATAAGAATTATTTTTCTTTATATAACATGTTCTATATGACAACCATTGTTTTTAAAACATATTTCGATTCACGTCCTGCACTGCTGAGGAACAGGTACAAGCACAGCTGCAGTTATATTTGTAATGGTTTTGGTGATGTGTTTATTTACCCGAGGTATGGAAACTCAAGGAAAACACTGTATTTTACCTACGGTCCAGGTATCAGTCAATCAATCAATCCTCATTGCGCCGTGACGAACATAAAGCAGAGAAAAACTGTCACTACACAATTCAATCCTGAGCTATCCTTTCTATCTCCAGTTTTTTCCCTTCGCATAGCCTTCAATTTAGCCTCAAGGGTTTGCTTCCAAGTGCCTCTGGGCCTGCCTCTTCCATGGTGTCCTTGTGGTGTCCATTGCATTGCCTTTCTCGGTCATCTCTCTTTTTTCATTCTGAGGATGAGTCCAATTTATCTCCATCTTTGTTTTTTGATTTATAAATTAAGATCTACTAAGGCTTTTGTTGCAGTCGAGAACTGCTGATTTTATCCTTCCATGTGAATTCCAACAATAATCTGAGAAGTCTTCCCTCAAAACCTCTCAGCACGCTCTCTATCTTTCTGTCTACTTTCAAAGTTTCTGCTCCATAGAGGAGAACTGTCCTAATGCATGTGTTGTATATCCTGAGTTTAGTTTTAGTGCTGTATATGTCTGATCTCCAGACAATTGTCTGGGTGTACAAACACAAAAATCTGGCAATTTACTGTAGCATGCAGCAGAGTAAAATGGTAGTCCTATAATAGACACTGCCACTGGTAGGTGAAATGTTTAGCTATCACATATTCTAGGTTTCCTGAGGTTACCAGTTGCATCCTCAGTATCTTTTATTCATAGACAAACACCAAAACATTCTGGAACATATTTTTTTAAGCTGAGTTAATTCCTGAGCTCTGTTGGTCAAGAAGAGCTATCCGGACACATAACTGATAAAAAGGTCATAGGTTTGCATCCTGATGGAGCCTGACTTTTTTATAAAAAATTACCTTGACTCCCAGGTTGACCCAGCCTTGAGTGGGTACCAGGTGCAGTCCTGGGAAGTTAAGGCAGCCGGCGTGATGCTGACCACATCACCCACCAAGTGCTGATTAGTCTATAAAAATATAGGTCCAGCCCTATATTCACATTACACCTAAAGGTGTGGAAAAGGGATCTTAACTATCAGGACACATAAAAAGCTAAAAGAAAAACAATGCATGCATAGTAAAGGTTTTATTTATAAAGGGATTTAGGAAGCGAGAACGCCCAAAAGAAACCCTAAAACAAAGTTTGAGGAGAGAGGCTTAAAGTGCTGGACAGGATTCCATTCATGATATTTAACTGATTGTGCAGGACAGAATGGAATGGAAGAATAGACAGTGAGCCCTATGTGATATAAATTGGTACAACAAATCGATAAAATCCCCCCCCCCCCCCCCCCCCCAGCAGATTTTTTTTAAGAACAGTCATTTTTTTTAAATTTAAACTAGTTTCTAATGTTTTCAAAATATATTAAAGAGTTAAACAATAAACATTAGATTTCAATGAAATATATTTTATAGGGGATAAACCACAAGACAAAATATATCAGATAACTAATATCAAGACCTCGTGCCCTTATCGGAATTATAACACTAAAGTAGCAGGCAAATTGTGAGTCAAAATAGCTTTAAAACAAAAAATGCTTGCACTAAAAACCCCTTAAAAATATTTTTTTTTTAAATATATTCAGATTCTGACTTCCTAAAGGCTGCACAGACGCAAACACAACCAGTCATGTTAACCATGCTTCTTGGGGAAAAGTTACTGCAGCCATGCAGCATTTATACGATTGATTCAGCAGTGAAAATGTCTGGTTTGTGCCTTCTCAGGGTGAAATGATTAACCAGTTAACCATATGCCTCAAATTTAGCACCTTTCCCTATTCTTTCATACAATAGCAATAATTTCGCAAATACACCATGGCTAATCAATCATTACCTTCATGGCCATGTGACGACTGTCTAGGACTGTCACTGTCATCCAGAAAGTCATCCAACATTTCTTGACTGAACACCACCAGTCTGACATCCTTTAATGTTACCTTGTCTTTGCTTGCAAAATAGTGCACCCCTTTCAGTATCGACTGCTTTATGTTTTTGTGGTCAGCCCTTCTGGATCCTGTTCACACAACAGAGCAAAAATGATATCAATTCATAACTCACACTTTATTACTCTTTCAGCATACAGAGAAAGTAAACAATGCTTAACTCTTTACTAGTCACGCTCATTCTTCTTCTTCTTCTCTTGTCCTGTATTTCCTTTCAGCATTAGGAGGCATTGGGCAACAGTCTTGGTATGTGCTACCTATGAATTTACAGCTTAGGATATTTCATCTATACATCTTTGCCTGTTCAACCTCTGGATCTGCTTTCATTATGTCTAAGTGACAGGGCTTTCTGTGGTGCACTGCCTGGTGCTAGTCTTTACATAGAGTGTCCGAACCACTCGAGCTGTTGCCTTTTGCACAGATTAGTACTGGTTCCATTAAAACTTCTTTAGAGGTATCATCATTTCTGATCCTGTCTCTTCTAGTCACATTAAGGATTTGCTGTAGTGTTGAAGTCAATGTTTAGCACTGATAACACAATGTTGGTATAAAATACTGTTACAGAATAGTGCTTTTTTGGTGCCAATTATTCCATGTTCAAATCTCAATATTTAAAAAAAAAATGCATACATTTTTTTTTTAAAATTCATCATGTAATAAATGTAAATAAAGCTGAACTCTTAAAAGGCAACTTCAACTTATAACTGGTATCACCTGAAAAAAATGCAATTACTGTCTGCAATTAAAATGACTTTGGCTCCCAAGTCAACCCACTCTTAAATGGGTACAGGGTAGAGTCGTGAGAAGTAAAGGTAGCGGGTGACATTTACCACATCACCCAGTAAGTGCTGACTGATCTAGGCAATACAAGTCTAGCACTATATGCTCAATTCTCTGAAGGTAGGAGAAAGGGTCCTTTACTTTATTTTACTGTCTGTATTTACCCCATTTTAGGGTAGTGTAGGACAGGGGGTTTTGAGCAGGAGGATTTAGAGCCGCATGGCTAGATCATTCACCACAGACTTTGCAGGTTAGGATTTTATTTTTACCCTGACAGAAAAATAACAGCGGATCCACAGATGAGCATCTAGCCACTACACCATGACGGCTACATTTGCACTAGAAGTGATTTAGATACAAAACTTCACTGACCAGCTCCTAGGGCAGGAATTCCAACAGATGTGCACCCTTGGCTTTCAGCATCTGCTAACACCTGGCTGACACATTTGTCCCAGTTGTGAGAAAACTTGTCCATGCTGACGTGATAGATGTTCTTACAGTTCAGATTGGGAGCTGAGGTGGTAATATAACCCTTCTGAGCCATTTCATCCTCTGATAGAAACAAAAGCAAAAATAATTTTAAAAGCATTAATTAAAAAATGAATGAATCAAGAATTGACATTATTTGCACTCAGGATATTCTCGCACGTGCTACGTCCCCTTATTCAGTAGCCAATAAAGAGACGCCATGCTAATACTACCAGGTGCAGCCTGATTAAAAGTATGCTTATGTTTCCCCCTCAAAGTTGAATATCTTCCAGAATCTCTACTCACCCCTGTAAAATTAGTCTTTCAATGCATGCATTTTCTGTCTGTTCTATTGCACTTTTAATTTAATCTCAGACAGCCTTCACCACATCTGCCTTATATTAAAAAGCTCACCACCCAGAGGACCAGCAGCATTCATTACAGATGAGTAAGTAAAAAAGAAAGTAACAAGTAAAGGTCCATTTTCCACACCTTTAGGCGTATAGGGCATATAGGGCTAGACATTTATTTTTACAGACCAATCCGCACAAGATGGGTGATGTGGTCAGCATCACACCGGCCACTATTACTTCCTGGAACTGCACCCGGTACCCACTCAAGGCTGGGTCGACCTGGAAGTCACGGTCATTTTTTTTAAAAGTCTGGCTTCATCAGGGAGCGAACCCATGATTTTCTGATACGCACACAAGCGTCTAGCCGCTAAGCCAAGGCGACTCCATTACAGATGAACTAGCAACAAAAACTCATGTGATTACATGCTTTATCTTAGACTTTCATTCCATTTTGGTATCTAGCATAACAAGAGACAATGCGACCTGAGTATATCAGTTAAAGGAATACATATTTTGTGCTTTATTATATCTTCTTCTTCAGCATTCAGAGCCTTCATGGTTTATTGTTGCAGATATCACCTGCCTCGATTCATCTATGTGATTTCTTCTTCTCCTACCAGTTTGCAACTGAAAGTGCTTGCAGGTCTGCAAGTATATTACCTCTCCACCATCTACTTTGTTTGCCTTGTAGTCTACTCCCTTTCACATCTGGTGTATATGCAGTTTTTGTCTCACTGTTTTGCTGACACTCAATACTTAGCAGAGAGGCGAGATGGACATACAATCAGACTGTTACTGGTACAACTGAAACTGAAAATCTGCGCTTGCTGTTAAAGATGTCGACGGAACGCTTAAGAGAATGTCAGTTCCTAACTCATAGATCTCTCTGTTACTTATCTGCCATTCTCTCTATATGCCCTAAACATCACAGTCTATTAGCTCTCATGATGTCAGGAATTATTGGTGATTTTAAAAGATTATGAATTTTTTCATTACATCATTATATGTTAATGAAACATCTGCAATGACACACCTGATGAGATAAGCAAAGTATGCATCACTGTACAATATATTTTCTCATTATTTAAACAAAATATTTATCTACCTCCGAGGCATATGTGATCACACAGGAATTTATGAACATAACTATTTTCCACATCATCACAACTTATAACATTAGCGTGTTCATGCAGTCAATCCTTTGCTCTACAAATATATCTGGTGAAAGTTATGAAGAACGATAAAGGAGACAATCTGGCCATGACAGAATCAAGAGACACAACCAAATGTAGCAAAAAGTGTCCAACAGTGTATGCTATTAACAAACAAGACAATTATCAGCATCAATTTTGTGGGAGAAAAGATCACTATGAATGGTGTCAGCCTAATTGCAGACTTAAATGATACATCAGTAAAGAGACAGCAACCAAAAGCTACAGACAATCAAACTGAAAGTAGTACCTATTAGTATTTTCTTCTTCTTCTTTAGCCTTAACCATGCATCCCAGTGTGGAAAGCAATTATTTTATTGTTTTAAAGCTACACCCCTGCTGTTGCCGGGCGTCCTAATATAACCCAACCTATGAGTTAAACTGGGTTTTTAGGACCTGTTCCTGAGTGATCCTCATCTGAATGGTGGCAGATTGTGTCACCGGGTGTTTCTCGTTTGGTGTGATGTCCTGGTGGAGTTGAACGTCATCACCATCTTCTTCTCCTTTAAAACACTAAGCCCAGTAGTGAAAATCCCAAAGCAATACAGATTAATCTATTATTGATATCTAGTTGATAGGTGTATGTAATCATACATCTTCCTTTCTTGGATCTCCAGCAGCGCACGTATCAACAACTTTCCATGCCATAACAAAAGACTTTTTAGAATCTTTTCTATCTGTCATCCTCCATATTTCTGTCCTTAAATCTTTCTAGTTCTCACATGTTTCAGTATTTATCTTCTCAATATGTGGTCAAGTGATGACTCTTTCTTTCTGATGCCTAAAATATGTTGTCTTCTCATATCCCTCATTTTGGCCACCCCAACAAAGTAACTATTCTCAGGGGTTGTGAATGTGGCTTGTAATTTTATGATAACTGGTTTCATTCCAGCTGCATGTGATTTGGCAGCAGATAGCTTTGCACTGGTTCAGAAAACGATATAACAATCTGACCGCTCAGAAAGCAATGGCAAACAAACTACTAAATGCAGAAATGCCCTTGTAAAAAAACAAATACCTGGTTGGTCTTCAAAGTTCTCTAAAGGTTATGCAACTTAGTTTAACAAACTGTAATACTCATCTGTTAAATCACATCTATGAGGCCTCTAGGAATTCAGTGTCCTTTTTTTTTTTAAATATCAGGACTCAGCCATGTTAAAACTGGCTCTATGTTATCATGCAAGAATTCTTTTTCTAACATGTCAATGTCAGGAAGACAAAATGATGATATCAGAGTCCATAAACACTATTATTTCTTTTCATATGTAGGTTTTTTGGGTTTGAAATTGTCAGGGCAATGGGTGCAAGGACTTAAATGTTAAACATACTTTTACTGTTGCATTCATCCTGGAGTGCTGAGCCACACTTCTTCAGAAGATTCTTGCTAACTGCACCTATGGACAAAGTCAAATAATTTAAAGATCATTTTAGTATACAGAAGAACTTGAGACACACAAAAACACTGACAGTAAGAGAAAACAATATTTAAAAAAATTATTATACCTAATTACCCTCATGGACATTATATATTTCAGTTCTTCATCTAGTTTTGAAGCTTTCTAATCATTCCATTTACCATGTATCTATCTTGTGCCGTTCTCTTTGATTTCATGTGTCTGTAATGACAGACAGGTCTGCCCTTGATTTTGCACAGCACACTTTGGTGTTAATTTATTCTCTTCCTTGATTAGAACTGTGCTAGCATAGTAGTTAGATGCACACCTGTCGTTTGACACCCCGAGATCAGACAATTTCAGTCTGGATTGCAGACCAACAGGACCTGAAGGTTTGACACTCTGGGACTAAAGAATCTCAGTACTGACCTATAAGGCAAGCCATATACCTCATTCAATCTCCAGGAAGTTATAATTAGGACACCCATAATTCATACACCACCCTGGTGTAACATGTAGTCTTGTGCACACAAGGATATGTTGGTAAACTGCCTTGCCAAATGCATGAATATCGATTATCATTAGTATAAATTTGTGTAACATCGCATGAAAATTAATTGGGTTCAAGTAAATATAATGGTAAAACAGAAACTGCAATAATGTAAAAAAATCTGGGTAACAATTTATACACACAAATTGCATACCAGAACTTGACAGATCCATTGTTTCTCTAATACCACATATGATTGCATCACATTTTTCACTTGTTATATCCCCCTTCTTGATTTTCAGTGTCACAGATTTCATCTGTAACTCGCCCGTACGGTGTTCTTTATGACCTGAAGAAAAAGAATGTTGCTTGAATTTAATATGCTTTTCATATTTGCTATTGCATTCATTACGTCTTTGTTACATATTTCTGAAGCTGAGTTAAATTAAGAACAGACATCACAGCGATTATTATAGGCCATACGTGCTCCATCTCCATCTTCACAGCCAGGGCAAAGTTCCAGTACTAAGGGCACCGGTAGCAGTCTGGTTATATGTTCACCTTGCCTTTCATTTGAATGTTGAATGTGAGCCGGATTCGATGGTTGCTCTCCACTGGATTATTCTTTCCAGGCTGTGATGATCTACTTCCACTTTGTGCATCTGTTCATAAAGGGCCATGATTACATCTACCTTGTAATGCATCAAGTCATGCAGAGCCAGTCAATCTGTCTGCCCATTCATTTCTTAACACACCAGCATGCTCTGGAGAAAATATCCACCTGACCTTTGAAGTTATCCTTTTCCCTCTGCATGGAACATACCTGCCTTCACTTCACTCAACATGCTTCGCCAGGTCCTAATGATCATGATATATGTGTGCAGCTGGTTCCCATGCCAGAGAGGAACTGCAGTTGACTGCCTCCACCTCCATTCTCAAACTAGATGCTTAACCTGTCCATGACTGTTTTGAGTTTGCCAGCAGTTTTCCTACAAGATGAACTAACCAGTCACACATCTGCAGGCTGTTTTCCCACAAGATGAATTAACCAGTCACACATCTGTAGGCAGTTTTCCCACAAGATGAAATAACCAGTCACACATTTGCAGTCAGTTTTCCTACAAGATGAACTAACCAGTCACACATTTGCAGGCAGTTTTCCCACAAGATGAAATAACCAGTCACACATTTGCAGGCAGTTTTCCTACAAGATGAACTAGCCAATCACACATTTGCAGGCAGTTTTCCCACAAGATGAAATAACCAGTCACACATTTGCAGGCAGTTTTCCCACAAGATGAACTAACCAGTCACACAGTAGCAGGCAATTTTTCCCACAAGATGAACTAACCAGTCACACATTTGCAGGCAGTTTTCCCACAAGATGAACTAACCAGTCACATATTTGCAGGCAGTTGTCCCATAAGATGAACTAACCAGTCTCTCATTAACCCCCCTTAGTCACCTCTTATGGCATATATAATTGATTTCAGAATTCTTTAATTCTTTCATAAGCTCTGGTAATATAAGGAAATGTTATGAGCAAAAGTCTTCTTCTTTTCTGGTTTCATTTTTATTGTGCGGTTAGCACAGTATGTTCTGGTTTACACCTAGGCTTATATGGAAGCAGTGGGTATACCCTTACACCCCCCCCCCCCCCCCCCAATACAGGGTACCTAAACTCACATGAGGAATGTACCCTCATTTTGTTTCTGCCCCAGAACCTTCTATAATTAACTCATCTAAAATTAGTTCTTGGAATTCTTTTAAGAGCAGATAAAAGCTACAGAGATCTAACCTAATGATGAAATTAAGAGATCTAGCCTGAAGATGAACTTACCTGATCTAGCATATCCACTTGCACCAGCTTCGGTATCTCGTGGTCTACCTCCCGACAGAGCTGCCTGAAAAGCCTGTTGGAAAGTATCTTTGTTTATTGAAAAAATACTCAGAATTTATTAGCTGAACATCTATAGTCTGCAATCTTATATACTTAACACTTACAATCTAATATAAACTAAAAACAGTGGAAAAGAAAATGGCAATTACAAAATCAGGCTATCCTCCGACTAACGGTAGGCAAAGATGGCGGCCGCAAAATATCCTTTCAATCCAGAGTCGTGTGTCAATTGCGCACTAGCAGTCACGAGCACACCGCGGCAGCTGCTCATGGGTCCTAGCCATCTAGTTTAGCCCCATTCAGTGCCGCGATAGTCGCCGAAAACCGCCGGAGAACCGCAAATTAAGTCACGCGACTCTGGCTCGAAAGGTTATTTTGCCGCCGCCATCTTTGCCGACGTTAGTCGGAGGATAGCCCAAAATCAAAATTCAAGAAAATGAAAGAAAAACAAAAACAGATATTAGTGAAATGACATTTTCTTTGACAGAAATTAGTTTTCTTCCTTGTCACATAGGAATTACTGCAAAATGACAGTACTTAAAATTATAATTCCCTACAACTCTAACTAAAAAAAATGGAGGAAGAAAACAAGAAGAACTTGGGAGTTTTAATTTGTACAAAAATTCAAGTAACATCATATGACCACCAAGCTAAAATCAATGTTATTTTTAAAGAAATTTTTGACTAGTGTCGAAACATATAAAGTGGAGCAGAGTAATCAATAAAGCACAAAAAATCAAATAAATATATTATTTTAATTTTGTTTTTTAAATACTGTGACACATCACTAAACGACGGCTGAAGGAGATTATTATATCACAATGACTAAAAAGGCATATTTTCCCATCACAAAATCCGTCACATGCTTTTTATCTTTCATATATCTGACCAATGCTAAACATAAGTCACATTAGTACCCAAGCCGTTATACAGGTAAAGCGGGAGTTGATCAATGCCATTATATCAGCATTACAGGAATTTGTCAGGTGAAAAGTTAAGTTACCTTTTAGTGTGAATTTGTCTATAATTTTCAGCCCTTAAGGCGATGCACTTTTATCTAATCTTCACTTTCCTGATGCCTTGATTATAAAACGTTTAGATCTGGGTCTCAAACATTTTCATTTCAATAATTGTCACTTTCCAGTAGTTTCTTTGTTGATTGTTTATTCAATGGATCAACATCATGGCACAGGAGTGTAACGCATAAGTGCTCCCTTCTTCTTCTGACTCAAGACTGAGTCTGAAGATTCTCAGCCCAGTGCACCAAATCTGCTACACCAGCGAGGATCCTGAAATACTTTGGATAGATTTTTAACTCCAAATTGTTCCCATCCAGCGCTGTAAGGGTACTCTGTGCGATTTCCAACTGCCAAGAGATTTTTTACGTGCACAACAAAACATATGGGTATCTGGTCTTACTATCCAGAGACCAGGGGAAATTACTAGAAGTCCATGTAAAAAAAAACTCAGCCCTTGAACACGGACCTCTAGCGCTCGAGGTGGACACCATGCCTTGAAACCACGGAGCCCCATTTCCAAGTAGTATATATGTGATATCATAGAACTAGTTCTATTAGCCACCAGATGCTGGGGTTCATACTGAGGAGAGGATCTGAGCACCTATGGACATGTCCAGAGTGCAATGATGATAACCCAACTAACTAATATATGTTGTATCATACCTCAACGGTGTTTAAATCACCATTGATCACTGGCATAATGAGGGCTAACAGACTGAAATGACTAGGGCATTTAGAGAAAATGTCAAACCACAGAGAGGTAAAAGCTGTGTATACAAGGAAATGGAATGGTCGCAGACCACAAGGCAGACCAAGAAGATGATATAGAGATAATGTCTAAACACCTGTTTCACCAAACTGAAAGAGAAAACCAACCAGAGAGATGAATGGAGGTGAGTAATATCTGCGGCAATGAACCTCAAGGGCTCGGAATGCTGAAGAAGAAGAAGAAGAAGAAGAAGAAGAAGAAGAAGAAGAAGAAGAAGAAGAAGAAGAAGAAGAAGAAGAAGAAGAAGAAGAAGAAGAAGAAGAAGAAAAGAAGAAGAAAAAGAAGAAAGAAGAAGAAGAAGAAGAAGAAGAAGAAGAAGAAGAAGAAGAAGAAGAAGAAGAAGAAGAAGAAGAAGAAGAAGAAGAAGAAGAAGAAGAAGAAGAAAAAGAAAAAGAAAAAGAAGAAGAAGAAGAAGAAGAAGAAGAAGAAGAAGAAGAAGAAGAAGAAGAAGAAGAAGAAGAAGAAGAAGAAGAAGAAGAAGAAGAAGAAGAAGAAAAAGAAGAAGAGAAGAAGAAGAAGAAGGAGAAGCAACCCACCCACATGATGACTTCTTATTGTTTCCAAGTATAAAGAATCTATGGACATCCTTTTTCAAACAACCAGACCTCAATTTAGTGCATAATTTCAGACTTAGATGGAGCTATAAATTGACAAAGAGTGGAGATTTACATTTTCATAAGGCTGAAACAAGTAAGATTTAAAGATCATGCAGATTTCCATGTAAGTGTCATGACACCTGCATTATAAAGTGAACAAGTTTTCAGTCATCCCTTGTAACTTTTACTTCTTGTAACTAACCTGCACAACATCAGAAGCTTTTGGAAACACAACAAGATTGATTAATTTTAGTGATGAGTTTGGATTATCCATCGCAAACTGGCATATGGCATTTGTGATAACATCAGCTGCAGTATCTATAAATAAAAAAGGAAAAAATTAAAGCTTAAATTATGATTAAAAAGAAATATATGATTCAACTAAAGCAATCTAAAATAACTAATCTTTATGATCTCGCAGGTCGACCCATATTAAATGGGTACCAGGATGTATGTCCTGGGGAAGTAAAGACGGCCGTGAAAATGCTGACCACATTACCCACCTAGTGTCAATGGTCTGTAAAAATATGGGTGCTCTTCCCCTTTACCCGATGTGCCTAAAGCCGTGAAAAGGAATCTTTACTTTTATCTTTATGATCATCATCCTGTTATATGTCATATAGGGTTGGCTGTTTATTATTCTATGCCATTCTATCCTCTGCCACTGTTTCAATATCATGGATGGAATACAGATGAAAACTTTTGGCTTGTCTTATCAATGTTTGTCTAAAGAGTTTCTTTTGGATGCATTGTCTCCTCAATCCATTTGTTTCCCATCTAAGCCAATGTAGGCCCGGTATGGTGATGCATACCTCTCAGTTCAACAAGTGTGTGAGTGAATTAGGAGGCCTTAAACAGCTTTAACTCTTTGAGTCCCATGGGGTTTAGCATCACAGGCCCAAGGAGTAGTAAAGAAAGTAATAAAATCGGCGCATCATGCGTTCATTAGGCTTCTAGGTAGGAACGTATGGACGTATGATGCGTTCCTTGGGACTCAAAGAGTTAATCGACTCCAGGTCACTACTCTGTATCCCTGGCCTGGTAGTGAACAGTCTGTCACAGAAGTCACGCCATTTTGAAACTTCCGACTCCACTAATACACTTGCTGGACTGACAGGCATGCATTACCATACTAGACTTTCATACTGCACCACTGGGTGGTGAATTGATACATGACAAGGCAGATTTGGTCAAAGCCCTTTGGGAACAAGCAACAGAATCAGTAGAGAAAGAAGATTATTATGGCCTGAAGAGAATGAGGCAGCTGGGTGTAACCAGAGGGTCTGGCCGGCTCATCACACTCAGAGGAAAGGCAAGAAAGATATAAAATCAGATTGTGACTGGTACCATCAGTAGTAGAACTCTGTGCTGGCTGCTGAAGATGAGGACAGAGCATGCATAGAAATGCCCTGAGTGCTGTGATGTCAGTTCTTGACTCAACTCAACTTAACTCACCACTTAATTTCTATAGGTTTTACCCCTTCAGTGATTTATTTTTTTAATGGATAATAGAATGATGCTCCTCTTTGGTGCATGTAAAACTGGGGCGACCATATTTAAACTGTAACAAGACATCCCTGTGTTTGTCTGCACCATGATGTCATGTGTTTAACTCTTTGAATCCCAAGGAACATTAATCGGCTATTACCCAGGTGACCAGTCAGTGCGAGGCGCTTACTGGTTTTTAGTTTACTAATGGCCAGTATAACAATGCGAACGGACAGTTTTTAGTGGTATTGCCTCTTCTTTGTGTTCGATGTCACATGTGTTGACCATTAGCCTTATTCGAAAACGGGATTTAAAACATAAAATGGAGTAGGTTTTTGAGCTTTACGGAGTCAATAAGTGTCTATGTGAAAATAATATTGCTTCCGAGCAGACTTCTTCATGCTTGCCAACAAGATTTATCACTTTAGGAGCCTCATATTCAAACACATCACGCGTTTATCATATTTATCTGAAGTTGGACAAAGAAAGTTGGGAAGCAGGCTTGTTTCACTCATTGATAGTCAAACTTTGGTGAGGGATAGCTCTAATTTATACCTCACACAAAGCTTACAAAAAAAAGAATGAGCTGGTACACAGAGAAACATTTTTTACAAAAAGGCAATATTCCTCAGTGTCAGTTAGGTCTAGTGTGATTCCCTTATTGTTTGGTAACACGGCTATAAAATCATGGACAAACTGAGTGTTATATTAGGTTTGTTTTTTTGTGAAAATACTAATGGTGCGCTGTTAATATGTTCTATAACTTTCTCTGGAGCGAGATCTAATGGTCAGATTGTGTTTATATGTTATTTATGCATTACTAAGTAGTTCATGTTTATTTGTGATTCATTTTGGATATAATTTCCTGAGTTTTTCTAGAGTGGAAAATTATTATTTTTTATTACTAATTTCTCTAAACATACCATCTGTTTAGTTACTAATAATTAAATACTAACACAATTTATTTTTGTAGAGGTATTTTAATATTGTTCCTCAACAATCCCTAGTCATTTGATGTATAATATGTATATGTTGCATGGCAGTTGAATTAGCACAGTCTGTTTTAATTTGTAACATTTATGAAATTTATCAAAATTGCATTTCCACCTCTTGGGCCTCTGATGCTAAATCCTCTTGGGACTCAAAGAGTTAACACTTTACTCTTTCCATCCTTAACAATACTGAAAAATTACAAGACAATGACATGGCTGTTGTAATTTCTAACACACTTTTAAAGATACATTTGAAGCCACTTGTATATATAGTCACAAATATGGATGTGTTGGTATGTATGTGCATGCACATGTGCATACGTGTAAAGGATATTTAAATTCACACACACACACACACAAACCTGAGAATGATTTGCATAAAGTGTGATGTTTGAAGCAATATTTTTAGAATAATTATTTTATAATATATTTTTTTTAAATATGTGTACTATGAAAAAAAAAGGATCTGAAACAAACCTGCAGGATAACCTAGATTTCCAGTTCCTATTGCTGGTATTGACATGGAATCACTTCCTTGCTGGTCAGCATTTTGTAGCAATTTATAGACCAATTTGCTCATCTATAGAGTGTTAAAACATCTGAGTTAGTCATACTTTCACACTCTTTAGACTAAATCTTCCAGAATATAATACAACATTCCTTATTTATTTTGCTTCATGCTCCAGCTAAAAGTCAAGATGGATTTCTTTTACCTTGGCTCTCAGTTTGACTCAACCTAAAATGAGTATCCTGTAATGCCCTATGATGTAAAGGTAGCCAGCATCATGGTGAAGAAGAAGAAAAACGCTGAGAAACTGCACGATTTCAACATCAAGGAAAACTGGTTAATAAACAGCATCCTGTCCCAAAGCTGAAGTACTTTGGCCATGTTGTTCAATGCCATAGTGGCCTGAAGAGAGCAGTGATGAAGGGTACAGGATCTGGACAACAAGGCAGAGGTAGACCTCTGTGAAGGTGGATAAAGACACTGAAGAAACATTGGCTATGAAAGCATACAGGGCTGGAGAATTGGCTAGAGAAATAGAGACTTTCAGGTATGCCATGACAATAGCAACACATTGTAAATGACCTGCTAACTGATGATGACAATTGTAGTTACATCACCGACTGAGTGTTGTCTGGTTTATAAAAATCTTAATTTAGCACAAAATGCCAATTGCGCCAGTGGTGTTTAAAGGGTCTTTTACTTTACACATTAGTCTGTGAAATCAATAATGAAAATAAAACATATTTGCTCTTGTTACCTTAGTACTTATTATTCAACAATTTTATACACACACACACAAATTATTATTCAACATTTTATGTAAACACAAATACTGATTTTTCTTGCCAAAGAAAATATTAAAAACTGTTACATGTTCTTCACTGTCTCCTCTCCAGTGATGCAATCTGGCATAAAAGATTCTTTTGCATGGCAGGTTTCCTCCAGAAGTTTGACCAAAATCTCCTGGTTTGATGCCATTGCCGTAGCTGAAACAGTTTTAAAAATACGTAAGTCACACATCTAAATTTTTCTGTTGAAGACAGTATAATTTTCTTCGGTCTATTAATTCTTTTATTCTTTTTTTTTTTAATTTAAACTATGAATTTAGAAAATGCATTTCAGAAACTATGCAAAACACTTTCAAAATATACCAACTTTTCTTCTTCCTCATTATTAACTCTTTGAGGCCCAAACTACGGTGTGAGCGTTGTTTGAGAGGGTTCCGTTTTGCCAAAACAACTGTGTCATCGTCAATCGTGTGTCCCTTACATTTTGCTTTGCGCGCAGCTTCGTACTAGTTTCTAATGTTTGGAGGTACAATTAAACTATTCAGGGAAAGTCACTCACCCAAAATCCTTTTAGTTTCATTTCCTGGACTAAACCACACGTGGATAATTTGAGAGAAAACACAGCGACATTTTTTTAGCAATTCATTTTCTCAGTTCATTTTTGAGTACCATGAATACCAATGTTCCAACTACAAGTACAGGTCGCAGAATGCGTCTTTCTGCGGCCGAAACTCTGAAAATTTTTCAGTCAGATGTTCTTAATTGTGATAATGATAATACAAATTTAGATTTTTCGGAAAATGATTTGGAGGGTTAATTTTCAACAGTGAAGCTGAGTGATCAGCTGTTCGGAATCTAGCAATTCTGATGAGTTTATTACACAAACAATGTCCCATACTACCATATTTATGGTGTAAGAGAAGGAAAGTGCTCTAAACAAAGAGACAGTACTATACTATGGCTAAGCTACACTAAAATCATCGCAGCTACAGTCTGTAAATAACTGTACAAAGTAAATAGTAAATAGTGTGTGTTTAATGGCTTATTTTTCTGCCATTTTTTCTCTGAAATTTTGCTCAGCACTCTGTGAGAACTAAGAGTTCCTGAGTGCTAAACTTACCCAGAAAGTTATGATAACTTTGGAATATGTTAGGAAATTGACAAACTTTGAAGTTTTGTTCTCAAATTTGGATATTTACTACTCTTGTGGCTGCAAAACCATGGTAAGTGAAGAATTTTGTTGTTAAATGTTGTCCTTGTGGAATTAACACCTGATGAATTCTTCTTTCACAATAACTATAACAAAATTAAACAAACACTTATCATGAGATTCAAAATGTACATTCATTTCTCTAAAAAAAAATATAGACTTTTATAGGGATTAGAAGTATATTACAATCTCTATAGCCTTTCTTGTGAACCCACCCCTCTGCCATTTTTGTAAAGGAAAATTAATTAGGGCCAAGTCTGTCAAAATTCATGGGCCTGAAAGAGATAAGTATAAGGGGAGTTCTTGCCTCTCCAAAACTTCCAATCTCCAACAGCGTGTACCAGTTTGTAACCAGCATGAAAAATGTGGACAAGAATCTTCTTGGACTGTCTTCTTCTATCTTTCACTATAAAAAATACAAATCTCTCCAGTTGACACAGAATATTAATGATTCTTTCTTATACCATGGATTACATAATATGATTACCTCTTCATTCTGATGTCACCTACAGGTCTTCTCCTCTTGCAAAGCATTTGTAATGCTTATTTAAGCTGTCCAATAGGGTTTTCAGTTGGAAAAAAAATACACAAACACAGACAGCAAATAAATCATTTGCTGACTATAAAAATTCATATTTCAAGAAAATACATTGCAAAATTTTTTTTTTAAAGAACTCATGCAGTTTATCACACACATGTTAACATACTTGCTGTTGAACTCCTGCTGAACTATGTCACCACCATGTTTCACTATATCCTTGGTCATTCCACTTTTGGACAGGTCCGGATTATTTCCAACTGTTACCACAATGACATCAGTCTGAGAAGCACAAGAATTTCATTTTAGAAATGATACAAATAAAGGAGAATTTGTAATAAAATAACATACAACATATGTTGGGGTAGAATGATAAATTGCATAAAAATCCTAGAGAATGATTTCGGTCTTTTTCAGTCGTAAACAACTGTTGCTAAAATACCTTACCTCCCTCGATGTGGATACTTCAGAGATACAATCTTTGAGGTCTAATGATTTTAACTGATAATCTATGAGACAGAGAGATTTCAGGTAGAATTAGGGGCAGAATGGTGTAATGTTAAAAAAAAAATGGTAGAGGAAGAGTTCTAAAATGTATATGATGTATCGAGTAGAGGAACTTGTTTCACGTCTTCAGGCGTATTAGGTATACAGGACTAAACCTAAATTTCATAGACCAATCAGCACTTGGTGACTTTTGATCCACAGGCCAGTGTCTGGCTGCTGCACCCTGGTGGCTCCCTATAGAGCAGTAAGGGACATATAATGGACTGGTTGGTACTGAAGATGGAGTCAGAGATGATGAGCCACCTGTTGGAAATGTTGGGTATTAAACAAGGACAAGCATGCAGAAAACTGCTGTGGGACTAAGAAAGAAGATATGCTAAATAACTCCTTCTGTGAACGTCAAGCATGGAAACAATGAGATGGCTGCTGCATTGGAAGATGGAGTACGAATGGGTTGGGTCAATGTGCTAGGATATCGATATGGATAACAAGTACAATACAATATGCATTATTGATAACAGGCAGTGGTACTCTGACAGAAGAGTGTTTAGAAGGGCCAAATGTCAGAATGGCCGGTGTGCCCAATTTGTAACCCTTTGAAAAAAGTTTGTTCGTTCGTTCGTTCTGTGACTGCACTAAAAAGGGCAGTTGACATGTTCTGTGATTTACAGCTAGGATGTGATATCTGCATCTTTTGACCCAACACCGATCTTAGTAAACTTCTAAGTCACTATTTCTGACATAGCTATTATAGGCAGTTGGTATATTCTGTTTTTTAAAAAGGGCAGCTGATATGTGCTGTGATTTACAGCTAGGCTTGGATATCTGCATCTTTTGACCCAGCACCGATCTTGGTAAACTTCTAAGTCACTATTTCTGACATGGCTATTATGGGCAGTTGGTATATCCTGTTTTTTTTTTTTTAAAGGCAGCGACATGTGCTGTGATTTACAGCTAGGCTGCGATATCTGCATCTTTTGACCCAGAACTGATCTTAGTAAACTTCTAGATCACTATTTTCTGCGTGCTTATTTTGGGCAGCTGGTGTATAATGTTTTTCACCCAAGATAGAGCACCAGCACCCACACGGAGATACCAACTGGTCTAAAAATGTGGTGCTAGCATTATGAATAAAATGCACAGAAACACTTGCAATAAAACTAACTTTACATTTTCACTTATCAGCAAACCTTTTGCTTGGCTATCTCTCCTAGAATGCAGGTGACCTTAATATGCCTGAAATCCCTCTGACCTCTGCTTGCTTGTGGAGGAAATGTCCTTGGCTGTGGAATAGGGCGTGCTGCTGCTACTGGTGCCAAAAAATGATGTTTAATTTAAATTAACATGCTGCATTAATGACATTATCAGGAGATTCACTTGAACATAAAATGTAATAATCTTTCTCTTCTTCTTCTTCTTCACGTTCACCAGTTGTAAATTCTAGCGAAAAGTTCTGGCTGCTAATCCACTTCTGGACTCTAGTCCTATTCCAAAAACTGAGTCTTGCATGCACATCCACTTTATAGGTCTAATTAATTTGCATGCAGACTGTTAGTTCCTTGCCTCTCATGCGGATGTACTCTGACTTTGAAGGAAGCTCCCAGTTAGTCGACTCCTACGATATGACTTTGGGCAGGCAGTGGGTCTATTCTTGTTCGCCTCGGAACACACACACGGAAAACATTTAATAATGAAACAAGAAGAATGTGTTGTAATCAGTGGACAGAAAGGCAATATAGCAATATGAACTATATATATTGCAAGGAGAATAATGTTACTCATCAATCACAAAGAAAAATAACAATCCAATTTGCTTTAAAAATTCATGTAGACAGATAAAACAATATGAATTCTAGTTATTTAGAAAGTTACACTTAAAATCTATTCCACTTAATATTTATTATCTACTACATTCAACACTTTCAATATAATATCTTTTATACTAAACCTTAAAATTTATTATACTTAACACTGATAATTTGGTATGCTTACTTTTTATAATTTATTACACTTAATACTTAATGATCTATTACCTGAATATTTATAATCTATTATGCTCAACACTTACAATCTATTTTAATCTATAAGAAGAAACTCCACAGGGGAGCATGTACAGCAGAAGTCAACCAATCATCAGTAGAAGTGATCTCTCATCAACAAATGCTTCGGCCCATGAGCTCCTAGACATTTTCAGAGAGTGGGCGCACCTGAGTTCATGAAGCTCAGGGTTGATCTGCTCCTGCTGCACGTATTACCGGATGTTCTCAGACAGGGACAAGACAAAATTGGTGACGGTGCAGCAGATACTGTGAGATTCAAAGTTTTTTTACATAGTCGCTGCGGTAGCATAATTATAGCAGTCAGCATACCTGGACGACCAAGTGGCAAGCTTACCGTTGAAAATAAATAAGGTAAGTAAAATAAAGGTCCCCTTTCCACGCCTTTAGGTCTATTGGCTATATAGAAATGGTGCCATATTTTTATAGACCATCAGCACTTTGTGTGTGATGTGGTCAGCATCAAACCAGCCGCCTTTACTTCCCAGGATTGCACCTGGTAACAAAAAAATTACCACCATTCTGATGAGAATCCCTCTGGTGCAAGTCCTAGAAAAATGTGGTTAGGAGGACCGAAGTCTCCTCAGCACAACATAACAATATCGTCTGGAAAAACGGAAGGCGCCAAAAAATTTAATACACAAATATTTTATCTATACATTCTCCTGATCAGGCTGATAAATAAAACCACCAACTCACAATTTCTGTCAGTCTCCTGAAGCGATCCAACACTGTCAACCTCTCGGCTAAAAGCGTTCTTATATCTATCAATTAACTGCTTCACATGGTCAGCTTGGGTGTCACAAAGATGAATATTTTTCAGAGTAGAGTCCCCTGACATTAAATGCTGATGCAGAGCTTTTATCAAGCGTTGACACGCCACAAATGTATCAAATTTCAAAATCTCTGAAACATGAAAATGTGACACATTCAGTATCAAACTTTAAAATCCCTTAAATATAAAAAATGTGACAATTATTTGATTTTTATATACATACATATATATATATATCTATATATTTATATATATATATATATATATATATATATATATATATATATATATATATATATATATATATATATATATATATATATATATATATATATATATATATATATATATATATATATATTTTTATATATATATATATACACATATATTTGAATCAAACAAAGCATACAAGATTATCACAGCAAAATGGAATAGCAAATGTATAACATTACAAATAAATCTTTGGTCAATACAAGATGAATATTATAACTGTCTTATAGACATGAATAAAGAATTCATTATCTGACATTGTACTAAACATTATATATCCAAACTACGATCCACCAGTGTTGCACCAGTTAATACCAGCATTTAATATGACCTTCCAGTTTAAAATCTTGTAGTTGTAATGGGAGATTTTAACACACAAGTAGGTAGTGAAAACATGGATGTTGAGAGCGCTATGGGAAAGTTAACATAATAAATTAAAATGGAGATCAACTAGCTGAATTCTGCATGCTGTATGATCTAATCACTGGAGGCACTATCTTTGCACATAAAGAAATTCACAATTTAACTTGGCACTGAAAAGATGGTGTGACTAAAGATCAAACAAATATAGAAGCTCTCTGATTGACTTGCAATTATTTAGATAAACAGATGTTAGCAGTGACTACAGATAATGTATGGGAAAACTAAAGCTTGATTTTAAACTAGCCGAAAAAACATATGTGCAACAAAAAAAAGAAGATAGTCAAAGACTTTGCAATGAACAAATAAGGGAAAAGTTTGAAAAAAAAAATATAGGAGGTGCCTGAAGTGGTGGGAGATCAGAGCGTTGAGGACAAATGGAATTAAATAAAGACCTCAATTTTTGAAGCAGCAATGATTAGTGCAAGACTAAAGAGGTATGACAGAAAAACTTGTATAAGTGATGAAACATGGCAGTGTATTCAGGAAAGACAGGCACTGCAGCTTGCTATATGCAATGCTAAATCAACAGATCAAGAAATCAGGGTTAAATAAGACTACAGCAAGACAGATAAACAAGTTAAAAGTATTGCAAGGGAGCTTAAGTTTTGACATACATTCTAGAAAAATAATACTTTGGATCGATTAATTGATCAGTCTGTCCCCTCCTGGTTGTTACCTATAGGTTTACCTGAGATTTTAATATCTCAATTTGGTATTATGGAACATTCATATGAACAGATAATCTGTGACTCTTAAATGATACTTACTTCCTGTACCCAAGGCTGGAAGGGCAATAGACTTTAATCCCTTGCTTGATGCACATTGGAGACAAGCGGCTACTGCTCTTTCTAGTTCGTCCATTTCAGTACTGCTGAAAACTGGACATACTACGTGGATGATAGTCTTACATTTGTCAAGATTGCCAGCAGAAGTCACAATGATTTCACCTGAGACACCATGTGGTTGAGATGAGGCTAGCTCAGACTGGATCTTGTGGCCTCCTATTTTTAAAAAAAAAGGAAAAGATAACAAATAAAGGGTTTTAACTCTCTCAGTACTAAGCTGGTAGCATTTTAACTTGCTGATTCCTAAGCTTTCAGGAGCAGCTGTCCGAACAGTTGAGTTCGCTGGCTTTCATGTGGGAGGTTTAGGCTTGAATCTTTAGTTAGGTTGTAGACTTTTTCTGTCAGGGAAAAGGGGGGGGGGGGGGGGGGGGGGGGGAATCCTAACCTGCACAGTATGGGGCAACTGCACTAGCCATGCTGACCTAAATTCTTAAACCTACGTGGCAGAAGTGGCCAATACAGACACTTATAGTACTTTGTATTTATTGTTATTTTTACAGACTCCTAAGTTTTTTTTACCTACAGCAATACATATTTTGATCCAGTTGGATGGGGAAAAAAAAAACACTTAGGGGCTTCTTCTTCTTCTTCATGTTCACCAGCTGCAAACTCGGCAGGAAAAGTTCTGGTTATTCCTCCACATCTTGACTTTGGTCTTGTACTGGAACTTGAGTTTTGCATGCACATCCGTTTTACAGATCTGAGTTATTTCTATGTAGACTACTGGTTCCTCTCTTTTCAGGAAGCTGGATACACCACTTTGAAGGATACACCATGAATTAGTTGAATTTTACCAACTGTTTCGGGCCCTGTAAGTTATATCCTATTGATTGCAGTGAAAATATTTCTTCCTGAGTAGAATATGTGAAAGTCAACACTGGACACTCCAACTGGCTGTATCTATCTATCATAAGGTTAACTTTATCTTTTGCATGTTGAAATTCAATTACATATTTCAAAGACCTTTACACACTGACCTTTCAAAATTAAAGCTTTGGCAAGGCCACTGCTGAACTTGAGAGTGGAATCTAAGGGATTAACAATGGCTTCAGTGTCAATGGAAGTTATGTCCCCCTGTTGGAACATGATAGAACAGTCTCCTAATTTATCCAAAGCAATAAGACTCGGGGGTTTCTGTGACTGCGGCAGTTTTTGTCCTCCAAAAGCTGTGAAGTTACTCTGTCCTGAAGGCAAATCCGTTGAAGGCAAGATAACACAACTCTGTGCATTCTCTACGCGTGTTAAAAGTGATTCTCCTTCAGCTGTCTGCAGAAATTCTTGGACGCCAAAATATTTCAGACTGACTTCTTGGACCAGTATTTTGTCACTATAAAATAGAGGGGGAAAAAAGAAGAAACGTTACTGTTTTCAGTTGACAAAACATGAGGTTTATGTTAAGAAACAATAATTTTCTCCACTTCCCCTGTTACCACTTCATGTGTCTCAGGACATACTATACGTTATTATTCTTGCTGTCAAATCAGTACTGTTATATAGAGCAGAAACATGGAGAACAACTAAGGCAATTACTAGTAAACTACAAACATTCATTAACTGGTGCCTGCACAGAACAGAGGGAATTAAATGGTATGACAGAATCACTAATGTAGAGCTTTGGGAGAGAACTTAGTAAATTCCAGTGGACCAAGAGGTGAAAAAAAGACGCTGGCATCAGATAGGACACACATTGAGAAAACCTTAGAATAATATAACTAAAATGCCTTTGCACTGGAAACTATAGGGATATCGAAATAAAGAAAGGGCAAAAATGCATGGAGAAGGGAGCTGAAGTGTGCAATTTAAAAGATGGGGAGGACATGGGTAAATCTGCATGTAATAGCACAGGATAGAATAACTTTGTGTGAGTTGGCTAAGGGCCTATGCTCCATTGTGGGTTAGAAAGGTAGAAGAAGATTATTCTTGCTCGTCTGACTGCCTTGTATGTACTGTAGTAGAGTTTCTCTGATGTTCTCTGGCCACATTGTTCTTGGTCTACCTTGGGCTCTACATTCCTCTACTCTTTTATTATATGCCTTGTGGGGTTTGGCATCACAAGGCATTCGCTCTAATTGGGCAAATCATTTTAAGAAACTCCATTTAAGAAATAATACAATGTTTTTCTTACAACTTAATTTATGAAATAATACAACACTTTTGTCTATTCATTAATAGTACATTTTTCTCATCCAGTAATTACTCAAATGTAGTAACCAAGAGACTTAGGAAGTGACAAATACAAACAACACTGGCTAATATACAATGTGGAGGTCTTGGTCTTTGAGCAGCAGAAAAACAGAAGTAAAGGTAATTACAAAGAAAAAATGTGCACCTAAATATATCAACCTACAAGGGCCAAGTCTGAAGCAAGCCAATATATTTAAGTACTTGTTTATTCTAATAACAGCTGATGAAAGCTGTATTAAAGAATTTAATCGCAAAATAACCCAAGCAAATGAAGAAATTCTATGTAATCTTTCTTTGTCAACTGAGTCTAGGAGGAGAGACAGAAGCGAATAATGGACAGTTAGCCAAACAGAGATGTGGTTTCATAGATTATTGATGGGAACACAATAGACAGATAAAAAGAGCCTTGAAAGAAATTAACACACAAAGAGAACTGATTACCTACATTATTGGGTCACGCTAAGAAGGAGAAAACTGGGGTATGCTATCAGAGTGGGAATTTAAAGAAGAAAAGAAGCAGACTGAGAGAGAAGATACTTGGTATTTTGACATTATGGAATGAAAGACCTTCTGTGTCTGAAATTACTGAAAGTATACAAGACATAAGGTAGTGAAATGGTCATGACGACCAAGCCACATGACATAAACTACAAGAAGAAGAAGAAAAATATACATTGCCATTATATTCTTCTTCTTCTTCAGAATTCCGAGCCCTTTAGGTTCATTGCTGCAGATATTGCCTGCCTCTATTCATCTCTTTGGTTGGCCTTCTCTTTCCAGTTGGTGTCACCAACTCTTTGTAGGTCTGTCTGGATGTTATCTCTCCACTGTCTTCTTGGTCTGCCTCATGATCTACAATCATTCAGCTACCTTCTGTATACAATTGTTATCTCTCTGTCATCTGACATTCTCTTTATACGCCTGCCTAGTTAATTCAGTCTATTAGCCCTCATGATGCCAGTGATCAATGGTGATTTATACAGATTATGAATTTTGTTGAGCTTCTCACTCTTCATTCCCTGCTGTTTGCATCTTTGCAATTACAATACAATTACCCACATAATAATTAAACTCAGCATGCAGTAAATACAACATGAAGATCAATGTAAACAAAACCGAAACAATGCAAGTTAGTAGAACCCCTGCCCACCTACACATACAGCTGAATGGTTCTGCCCTGAATCAAGTTAGGGAGTTTAAATATCTAGGAAGTTTGATCACAGAAGATGGTAGAATTGACAGAAAAATAGAAACCAGATGTCAGAAAGCAAGTGCACTTATATACCAATTGTCACCATTATTAAGACATCCAAGCATGACTATGAGTGCAAAGAGACAGATTATTAATAGCATATTCATTCCAACATTAAGCTACCAGTGTCAGACATGGACACTATCTAAAGCCCATATACGCAAAATAACCACCTGCGAGATGATGTGCCTGAGAAAAGTAGCCAACCTAACCATACAAGATCGAGTGAATAATGAAACTATCAGGCAAATTGTGGGAATGACACCTTGTACTAGATTCATTGAGAAACAGCAAATCAAGTGATTTGGCCATCTCGTTAGAATGCAGCAAGATCAAATACCATCACAAGCACTATATCTCAGAAGATCAGCTACAAAAGCAAGAGGATGGGCACGGAAAACATGGATAGACAACATTAAAGACACTCTACGCCTTCACAGCTTGACAATAGCCAGTGGCAGCCAACGTGCACTGGATCGCAAATTATTCCTCCCCACGGTGCTTAACGGCAGAAGTGGTTTATGATGAGGATGATGATGATGATAATTAATAACAGAGTTCAAAAATAACCAGTCTATAGAAAAATTATTTACAATTTATGTCAGTTAATCTCCTGAAATAACACTGGTTCTGGCTTTCCAGAATACATTTTTAGAGTGTCAGAAAAAAAAAAAATATGTTCCTTCCCATGTATCCCCACCATTGGCAAAACTGAAAACTAGTTACAAAAGTAAGCATTTACATTTTAATAAATATCTGTGTAGCTTCTGTGGCTTAGGCACTGCGAACACGCTTTGTAATTCCATGGTGCTGGGTTCGATCCCAGCTGTAGTTGATTTGGTAGCAGATTGTCTTGCGTTGGTTTCATCAGTGTTATCGAGAGCTAGCCATTAAGAAAGCAATAGCAAACTACTCAACATAAAAGTGCCTAGTGAAATCGTAAACAGCCAAACAATATTCTGCAAGGCTGTGTAAAGGACAGGTAATTAACTTGAACTTCTAAATATCTACTAAATTAGTGTCATTCAGATATTACAAAATAGGTAATAAATACAAACTCACCTCAGTTGAGATAACCTCTTCTCTCCCTCTATGACACCATCTTTAAGTCCCTGGACTATATAATTGTCTGCTCGTTCAACAATTTTAGCACCCAGAGGGATCAGAGAATTTGAAATCTGTGCAAAGTCTTGACTTAAGCATTTTTGGACATACTTCTTCTTTCCACCAGAAAATAGAACTGATCTTTCAAAAGATTTGTTCTCTTCTAAAAACTTGTCTACTGATTTTAAAACAATGTCCAGCTGCTGTGCTGGGGTGACTATATGCAGGAAGTTGTTGTCTAGTTTCACACAAGATCTTACTTTCATGCCATCACTTATTTCACAAACATCAGCCAAAAACTTTCGTCCTTTCTCAGACTGCAAAATCAAAACCATGTCCTTGTTAAGTTCTTTTTTCTTGGACATAACCTGAGAAGTGACAACATCTTTCCAAAGCTTACTGTCTACATCTTTCATATGATAAACAGATACTTTGCCATTGCTACATCTGACATGTGCATGATACTTCATCTCTTTGTATGTGTCATTTATTTTGTTCTGAACTTCTTGTTTGTCTAGAAACTGCAGTTGTTCTGGTGAAAATAAGCTTGTGATATCAGTGCTTTTGAAATCTCTGACTTTCATTAACAACTCAACTTGAGCTTCATTAGTTTTACTTTTCTCACTGCTCTTGATGATGGCACACCTTTGTTCAGTGTTCAAAATGATTTGAAGAGGCACAATCTTTGCCTCCAAATCCTTATGAAAATGTGTTCTTTCCAGCATAATTAAATCATTTTCTCCTAACTCTAATTTCTGCTCTACTGGCAACTGTGCAAGCATAACCTCATTTTGAACTGTTCCCTTGGTTTTATTATTTTCTTTCAGAGGTTTCGGAGGCACAGCAGGTTTTTTCTTGTTTGTCTGATTAAGGTCCTTTGAAGAGCATACATTCTGCATTGGTTCTTGTCTAACAATTCCTGGCCTTATATTTTCTGAGGTTTTTTCATTCTGTCTTGGTCTGCTTTCACCACTCTGATTATTCATGTAGGATCTATTATGATCTGAAGCTGTTGGAAAGAGAGCACTGGTAGTAAATTTCTGGTACAGAGCATTCATTCTGTTCTCTATGAAATGTTCTTTTTCAGTGCTGGTGACAACATAAGCCAGGTTATCCAAGCTGTCAAAGTAAATGTCAAAACCAAGCACTTCATCTTGGTATGTCATAAGGTAATACTGCTGAAACTTATAAAACTGAGGCAATTCAAACTGTGCTACTGTAAAAGTATCGAGATATTTTATCAATTCTTCTAAACCACGATCAAGCATGCGGCGAACTTCAACAAATTTTATCTTGTGGGGCCAATTCAAAGTTAGAAACAATGAACTTATACTGTCATCGTCAACAAGAGTATGCCGACAATGAACTGACTGCATTATGTTTATAAGAACACCCTCCTGTTTTTTCAGAAACTCATATCCACATTTAAGGAGTTTCAATGCATACTGGTTCTTTTTATTTGATGTTTTATCGATGTATGTGTAAAGGGAAACTTTTTTAAACTCCAATCTCGTCTGTGATGTATGCAATGATCTGTTTGCTTTAATATCTCCTCTTGAATGCATCTGTCGTGAAGATTCTGAAGGAGATTTAGCAGGTGCACCAGTATTGCTCCCGAGCTGAAGCTTCAGAGGTTCAACCAGTTTCTTGTAGACTTCTGTGCTGAGGCAAGGATGGTATGGACTGACTTTCAATGTACCACCTTCTAGAGTGTGCGAACCCTTTGCAATAATGCCATCAACACCTAAACAAGACAGATGTCAAAAAATATTGTGGATTTTTATAATAGAAATCATGCAGTTTTCATGACATTTATGTAAAAGGAAATTTAAGGTTCAAAGATTATGGTTCTTGCCATTAGATTTATACTGAAGCTGCGGCATTTTCTATACAGAAAAATATTTTAACTGCTTCAAAATTTAAAAAAAGCGCTAATGGAATTAGCCCATGTAATGTTATTAAATTAATGATACAGTTTACAAGACAGATTTAGCAATAATTCCATTCAGTTCTGGAATCATTAGTTTAGTAATACAGATTTTGTTTAAACACTGTTCAGTATGTTATACCCATATTTTTAGGATACTGAACTTTAAATTGTTTTTTATCGGACAACAACAACAACAACAACAAAAAAGCAAAAGAAGAATTACTAGTTTGTACTATAGAAAATCAGATGTAAGCAACATCTGGTGTCTGCTGGTAAATATATGGTTTTCCCTTAAGTGGCTGGTAAACTGATTCATTCTATACATTCTATAGCTCTTTAACCCTGTGAGAAACTTTAAAAAAATAATCTACTTTTTTTCAAATTAATTTTCTTTTTTTAATGCGTTGTTATAATTCTCTGAAACTTTACAATAAGAAATAAGAAGAAAAGAAGAAGCAGAAGACATTTTGAGCAGATCATCTAGTCTGCAGATCCTCAACTGGAGCTATGGAGTTCGTACTTTGTGTGATGCTCTCAGCAGGCAGCTAGATGTTCTGCAGAGAGACCCAGTGCAATGAAGTTGACCTTTTTCTCTTTAATCTTTTACTCTAACAAGTGTATTAGTATGATCCACCAGGAAAGCAAAAAATACAACACTGTAACCTGCCATTGTGTTGCAAGAAATAATAAAGGAAGACTGATGTGAGACTAACCCCCATGTGGGTTCTGGGCACCACTGTTAGGGGGAAAAAAGGAGAGACCCATTGCTACCTCTAACAAGTATGTAAAAATAAAAGCTGAAAAATCAGGAATGTTTCCTTTACAATCAGAATGCATCTGCCTGAGAGATAAGGAACCAACTGTGTGCATAAAAATATGTCAGATCCGTAAAATTATGTGCATGTAAAATTCAAGTTCTGGAGCAAGACAAAAGTCCAAAATGGACAAACAACCAGAACCCCTGCAAGAGTTTACAGGCAGTGAATACCAAGACGAAGATGTAAGACTGGGCTCTTCATCCTGCATAAAACTTCAGCTACAAAATCCAATCCAAAATGAACAAATCTACAAATACTGTCTTGGCAAGCAAGCACAACAATCATAAATAGAAAATCATATACTGAAAGTATATCCTAACTTTGCACCTTGACTGCAATCACTGTAAACTCATCTGTTAATAAATCAATCAAGTGTACATAATAATATATTGACCCTTCTTTTTAGCATTCACCAGGTATAAACTCCATTGGAAAGTTACCATTGTTTACCCACGTCTAGACTTTGGGCTTCTTTCACGATGTGAGTTTTTGCATGCACATCCATTTTACAGATCAGATATACTTATATGCACACTGTTGGTGCCTCATCTCTCAAGCAGATGCACTATGACTTTCAAGGAAGCACCCCTAATTAGTCAACTTTTACAACATGCTTGTTGTGTGGTTGAGGGGAAGGGGAGGGAATGGGGGAGGGTTGAGTGGTTCTGGTCCCAAAATGGAGCAGAGGAAAAAACATGGGGAAAATGTTGACTCAATCTTTTCGAGTATGTACTTTCACAAATTACTCTTTATTTATCTACTTATGTAATTTTTCCTCTAGTAAGTATTTTTACCTATCTGTTGCATCTTATTGTTTACCTTTGACTTTCCCCATTATCTATTACTACTTCTTTTAAAAATCTTTTTTTTTTAAAGGTATAATACCAAAGGACAGTTTACCATACAAATTCTGATAAATTCATTTCCCAGACTAAAAAGTATCTGAAAAATTTACTTCTCAAGTTAAATGTCATATTCATGAGAACCAAAAGATTCTCAAAAAGTGAAATAATTCCTTACTTTCTCTTTCTTTATAGGTGGCATAGGCTTCAGTTTCGCTCAACCGTTGAAAGAAAGTAATTGTGCCTCCCCCGCTGCGTTTAGAGTTTGACATGTAGCGTTTCACTGTCTCATCTGAGCTCAAGGTGTGTAGACCAGTCACTTTCACACAGTTTGTTTTGAAGACTGGGGCCACAATCAGACGAGTGTTGCCAAAGAGCACAGGCATCCATGTTAAAGCACTAATGTCTACCAGAAGGAAACACAAACAAAAGCAACCATCAAAACAAGTAAAATAACAAGCTAAAGAAGATCAATTTAAACAAATCATTATTATAATATGTAATCATAAAATTAACCCTATTTAACAATAACAATTTTAATTTAAAATTTAATTTAAAAATGAACGCATTTCCAAACAAAGTAGTCTAATAGTATTATAGTGTAATATTAATATGGGAGCTGCAATAGTGTTGGCATTAGTGAATTAAGGATTACGAACTCAGTTTTTAGTCCCAAAATACATGGTTCCATTTCAGCTGTGGGTAATCTTCTGACAAAAGACAGCTTTGTGTTGATTTCATCACTGTTATCAATAGTCAATCATTCAGGAACAATAGAAAACTACTGGATGTAAAAACTGCCTAGTAAAACCACAAACAGGCAACAAACGCTGAGTCAGTTTGCAATGGCTCCTAAAGGATGTGCAAATAACTTAGCAGGCTTGCCAGCCAATTTATATAAACATTCGTTCAAATCTAAATTCTTAATCTTAACAGAGACTTTTTAGCCCATACAAATCTTTAAAGAGATTATACCTTTCTCACAATTTCCTTTTGAAAATTGTATTCTAATATTTCTTTAAAAAAACTGTACCCAAAGAAACTAGAGAAAGAGAAGAAAAATACAAAACAATTTGTGAAGTCTTGGTCAGTTTTATAAAAATCTAGGGGTTTGAAACCTATGACCACTGAGCAGAGAGGCAAGGCTGCTAGCATTTGCGTCATTAAGTTACTAAAAAAAATGTGTCATCTACTAAGAGTTGTAATCATTAAAAATTAAATGGAGCAAAGAGCTAACTGCTTTCATTTCCTCTGACCAAGAAATAAATAGTTTTATATATTGGACACATCCTGAGAAGAAAGGAGCAGAGAATCACTAAATAAGGCAACAAAATTATTAATTAAGGGACTAAAATAAACCTTATAATGAATGCTAATGAGAGAGGCCAAAGCTGCTGGACTGATTTCATCCATGATATTGAACTGACTGCACATGATAGAACGGAATAAAGGAATAGACTGTGAGTCTTATGTGACATTTAATAGCACAAGAGGACAATGAATAAATTATGGTTCACAGTGGTATTCATGGCCGATGCAAAAATCAGAACTCCAGACACTCCAGTTTCAGATCCACAGTCACTGATGTCTGAACTAGACAGCATAATATCCCTAAACAGTAAATACTCTCTCACTATGGAGTTCCTATAAATAAACAGAGGGGGGCTCTAAAAACAACTAGATAAGGAAGGTGTAACTGATGAACTACCAGACATAACTAAATCATGAAAAGAATCATAAAATCAATAAGAAAAAATTCACTAACACCAGTACAAGACACACCAGTACAAATCCTTATTCTCATCAAATAATGAGACACAATTAACTCCGTAAAGTTATATGTATATAAAATTAATCCTAGTAAATCAGCAATGTGTACATGTCAAGTGGTACTCCGGACAGTAGATCATATGCATTAAGAAAAACAGACAATTATCAAATTATTAATTTCTAGCCAAAAAGAAACAATGGAAGGTAAAAATTTACAAAACACTTCAAGAACTAAAACAAAAACTCACAAAAAAAAAAAAGAGAAGTTTTTTTCAAGAGACAGAAAATTTGTTTTAAAAGAACAAAAGCAGAGGAGGGTGAAGAGAAAAAAGAGAGCGGAAAAAAGAAAATGAAATGCCATAGAAAGAGAGGAGAGGGAGAGGAGGAGGAAGAGAGATAAAGAGGAAAAACACAAAGAATGAAAGATAAAGAAGAAAAGAAAGAGAAGTAGAAGAAAAATATGCGAAGAATTAAATCCAACAAACATCAGGATAACTGCTATAAATACAAATTTGAAATGCACAGGCAGCTTTAAGAATTAAAAAACAAAAAATATTAATCATGGAATTCACTCCAACATGGACGTTCACATATGCTGTCCTATCTTCAAGAGGTGTAATGAGATGCCTCTATTTTGTGACTATACTTGGTGAAAGAGACTGGCGTTCGTTTGACGAACGAAATACTGTCTACCAGATGCAGCTTTGTTTTCGTTACAATCTTTTGAGTTTAACATGTGTTGATTCTAGAATGTGTTTTTGTTGTGAGTAGAAGTACTACAGAGGGTAGCGCCGAAGATACAATGGTTTGTGAGTATTGAATCACTGATGTGTTTATATTTTAGCTGTCCTCGGTGGTTGATGTGCTTAAAACCTTCAAAACAAGCAACATCTGACACCCCTATAACACAGGACAGCCCATAGGAATAGCCATGAGATCTCGCGCATTAGCAACGTGTTACATTCTATGATCAGTACCCAAAAAATTCTTCTAACCATTAACAAAATTACACACAAGCTCATCTATACAAATCACAGCATGTATATCATTATTATATTCCTGTCCCAATACAGGACAAAGTTTTTGGCTCTCCTAGCACATTTGGCCGGCAAGCTAGACGGCATCGGCCGGCTTAGTGGGAGTTATGTCCCTTCGCCAAACTCAAAACAAGTCGCGGAAAAAGTCACGAATCAAATGACATTCTTACCTACCATCATCCAGGTGCGTGTAGATTTGCGTACAGTTGCGTCTACGGTTACCTATCATCCTACGGTTGCGCGTAGGGCTGCATAGGGTGTCTATCATCATCATACGGTTGCGTGTAGGGCTGCGTAGGGTGTCTATCATCGTCCTACGGTTGCGTGTAGGGTTGCTTAGGGTTTAGGTTAGCGGTAGGGTTAGGGGTTTGGGTTAGGGTTAGGGCTAGGGTTAGGGGTAGGGTTACGGGTTAGGGTTAGCGTTAGGGTTAGCGGTAGGGTTAGGGGTAGGGTTAGGGTTAGGGATGTGAAAATTTTCACGTAAGAGGTCGAAATACTGGCCGAGGATCTGATGTTTGTGGGAGTGGCGCCACTGGACGTGTGGCAAATATGACGGCAATAGCGCGCGGCTGGTGCCCAATCGGTGGCGAATTGTCCGTGTCAGTAGCATCCACCGTCCGTCGACTGTTTGCGCGTGCATGCGACTGTGCGCGATTATAGGGAACTACGGTGTCACAATTGTCACATCTAACACTACACCTAACCCTAACCCCTAACCCTACCCCTAACCCTAACCCCTAACCCTAACTCTATCTCTAACCCTAACCGTAACCCTAACGCTACCCCTAACCCTAACGCTACCCCTAATCCTAACCCTAACCCAAACCCTAATCCTACCGCTAACCCTAACCCAACCCCTAACCACGCAAATTTATCGGTCATTAAAGCTTACAGATCGGCAAAACACCCACAGACAGACACACAGAAAAAAAGAAGAAAAAACCACAGATTTTCCCGCAGCGTCAAAAGAAAAACCCAGATCTGGGGGACACAACCAAGCATTGGCAGCCCTGATGTCGACCTCACTGTCGTTTTTGAGTCGTGACTTTTTCCGCTCGTTGTTGTGAGTGCGGCCAAGGGAAAGAACTCCCACTACGCCGACCGAAGCCGACCTACTTGCCGGCCAAATCTGCTAGGAGAGCCAAGTTTTTTTATATTGGAGCCCCACCCTGGTTGGATTTCAGGTTAATTTGCATCCCTCCATGGCCCTAAAATAACCAGACAGTTGAATGGGGTTCCTGGGACTTGACCTGGGGGATTTCATCTGAGTAATTACACACTGCACTTTGCATTACAGGGTGATAATCACTCTGTGTGGGGTCCTAGTGAGATTCAGTTTTACTCACCTTCACATGAATCTGGATTGAACACAATAATGGCTGATCGTGGTTCCTCCTGCTGAATGATATCAATCACTTCCATTTGGGATATTTCTTCAATTTTCTTCTTTAGTTCTCTTCTCTGCTCATCTGTGTTACAGAAATATCCATGGACAGATACCAGATTCAAGTGGGTATCAAAATCTTCCTTTGTTGCCATTTCAACTTTCAGTAGATTACTATCAGCTTTGTGTTTAAAACTGGCAGTGGCAACAGCAGCTGAAACAAAATATTTATAGATAATCAAATGTTTTAGTAAACATAATTCAAACGTTTCTTTTTTAAATATAAAACCAGCTTAGGTGAATATATCTTGATAACAGTAATATTATGTTACCTAATTCACATACATTTGCTAGCGACAGTAGCAATTTAATCAACGATATTCTCAACTAGGATGGGTTATCACTAGGATATATGTTTTTTTTATATGTTGATATTGGATATTCACACTTGTAAATTATTGTTGGATATTTAATACTGCAAAGATTATGTATGTATTATTTGTAACACATCGTATTTCCTTAATCTGATGAAATTTTAAAAAGAAAATAATGAATCTGCCACCTTGTAGAACAGTAAAATAATTTCAACTTTGTAAATAATATACTTCTTCCTCTTCTTTGCGTAAACTCTAGTGGAAAATTATGGTTGTTCGTCCACTACTGGACTGCAGTTCTGTTCCAGAACCTGATTGTTGATTGTGCATCCGTTTGAGAGATCTCACACTGTCTCAGACTGTTGGTTCCTTGCCTCTCAGGCAGATGCACTCTGACTTCGAAGAAAGCTCCCAATTTGTGGACTTTTACGACATGATTTTGGTTACGCGTTGGGTCTATTCTTGTTTTCCCTATAATAGGGCCCCGGAACCTACACGGGGGTTTTAATATACTAATAACTGGATTCTTATTCCTGAACTCATTTAATCTACAAAAGAGTTGTAAAAAGACAGCTCTATGTTGAAAAATACTAGGCAAGATAAATGTAAGAAAAAACGGGAAGATGTAAACAAGTGGGCAACAAATTATAAAAATATAAGCAAGCACATAAGAATACTGGGAGTCGTTGCGGCATTGGCGGCTAGACGCCCGCCTGCAGATCAGAAGGTCATGAGTTTCCGTCCCATCGGAGCCAGACTTTTTTTTTCAAAAATGACCCTGACTCCCAGGTCAACCCAGCCTTGAGTTGGTACCAGGTGCAGTCCTGGGAAGCAAAGACGTCCGGCGTGATGCTGACCACATGACCCAATAAGTGCCGACTGGTCCATACAAATTTAGGTCTAGCCTTATATGCCCAATACTCCTAAAGGCGTGGAAAATGGACCTTTACTTTTTTATATCAGAACATTAGATGGCATTTATCATTATCAAGTGGCTTGCTGACTGGCGTAGGAGATCCTGCCTCTCCACAATCTGTGATCCGCTATTGCGTGTGAGTTAAATATGGGTTATCTTCAAGGCACTCTGGACATGTATAAAGGTGCTAAGATTTTCCCTTCAACATTTACATCAGCATCCCTCGCTGACAGTCCCAGTCCTATGTTGACTGACAAGACTTCTCTTGCGCCAAGTGTGCATCACATGCCTAGCTGTGCCAATCTTTACTTCCAATTCTTGCACTCTTAGCAAAGATGTGGATGTGCTGCTCCAAAAATCCTCAGATCATCCTACCTCTCTAATGGCATTAACAATGTCTGCATGATCCATGTGCCAGCCCTCTGTGACTAAGGCAGAGCTGGCTAATGTGCTCTTTCACTGCCAACAACACCTGCATACCCTGGGACAAATATGAAGTTAACTTCACCCACAGTAGAGTTTTGCAATGACTCGATCCACTGTTTGCGTACAAAGCCCACCTCAACCTGCCGGATCATGCTCATGGAATCACTCAGCACACAGACGTAAGAATAGCCCTGTTATGTTAGCCATATGAAAGCTTGTGTTACCACCATCACCTCCACTGTCATGCTGCTAGTAGTCATAAACAAGGCACTACTGGCCTCCTGGACTGTTCTGCCTGCAGATCATGCAGTAAATGCTCACACACTTTTTTTTTGTCCTCGTACAAAAGACCCATCTGTTTAGATCAGTACATTTGCCTCATCTTAATTTTCACATATAAGCGCATGGACTTCTGCACTGACAGCAATTATGTGTATAAGTTTATGTGCTGACACCCCTCCATACCATGACAGAAGTCTGTCAAGAATCTTCTCACGCTGCCTTCCTCTGTCTCTTTTCCCACATATCTTTTGCAAAGGTCACAACATGTTCCATTTTCGCTCTTCTCATAACATTACCAGAGAAAAATTATGGCTGTATTAGATCGCATTCAGGGTTTAAATATAGTTAACTTCTTGTTATTTATTTTGTCTCTACTGCCATTGTGCAGTCGAACATATGGTTTAAAAGTTAAAAATGGGAACATGATAATTAACAATGAGGAAATATGTACACAGGACATGTGAACCAAATACTGCAGAATCTGATTTTGAAGAATGACAGTATGTCATATTCACTGTGGTGTAGTGGCTAGATGCTCGCCTGTGGATCAGAAGATCATGGGTTCAGGTTCTGACAGTCAGGTTTTTTTGTGTGTTTTTTTTCAAAAAAGGATGTTGGTTCCCAACAGGTAACAAATCCAGGGAAGTACAGGCGACCACATCACCTACAAGTGCTGATTGGTCTATAATATATAGGTCTAGCCCTATATGCCCAATACATATGAAGGCCTCAAAAAAGTCCTTTATTTTACTTTACAATTGTGGGTATCACAAAAATGGTTTGTTTAAGTATCTTCAACATGAATTAATTCAATGCCTATTAATCGATAACATTCACACAAGAAAAAAACGAATCATCATACCTTTTCTGTCATGGAATGTCACATAAAGGTTTCTGTTCAGCCCATCCAAAAGAAAACTTTCTTCATAAAACTGGCCTTGTGATATATGGGGGTCTTCAAGATACATGACATAAAAATCTTTGGTCTTTGTTATATCTGATACTTTAGCCTTAATGGTTGTTTTCCACAGCTCTTCAGATTCTTCAGTATGATCTTCTTCTGAGTTTTCCGACTCAGATCTTGCCTTTTCTGCTGTACGTTTCTTCTTTGATAACTTTTTGTGTACGGCATGTGTTTTCTTTGCTGGCCTCTCTAGTGACGATTCTGTTTCTGTTGATTCATCAACATTATCTTCAACAGTCCGTGAGTTTGCTTTAGATCTTTTCCTGTAACATTCTGAATCTCTGTCTGAATCTGAAGTTTTCTTCCTATTCACAGATGACTTTTTTGTTGTTGAAATCTCATTCAAAGATTTGTGTCTTTTATTCTTTAGTTTCTCAGACTGTGATTCTGAATCTGACAATTCATCATGTGATGCCGCATGTTTAGAGACTTTCATCTTGTGGTCTTTGTTTTCTTTTGCTGAGAATGTTTTTGGAGGTGAACATGATTCATTTGTTATTTTTTCCTTCACAGACTTTTGAGTTTTAGATTTCCTAGGTAATGATTCACTTTCAGACTTTTCTTCAGATGAGCCTATATCTTCATCATCACTTGTCTCAGAATAGGTTTTAGACTTTTTTCTATGTGTTTTTGCTTCTTTACCTGAAACAGAAGATTGTTTCTTGACGATAGCTGTTTTCTTCTTCTTTTCAGTTTCCTTAAGGGGCTTCTTTGACTTCTTTTTTATCTTTTCATGCATGTCTTCACAGTCTGATAACTCTTGTTCATCACTGTTTATGTTTCCTTTAGAAGCAGTTCTGATCTGTTTCATATCTGGCTTGACATCATCAGGATCAAAGTAGCGTGTCACTTTCACAGTCACATCATAGAACTGCACAGTATTCCCTCTACCCAGAATAATGTCCACAGCTGTGGAAATAAATAAATGGAAAAAGATCTTTGAGCAAAAATAACAGTAGCAATATCATTGTAGCTCTTTAAAAATCAAAATAATAATAATGACATCAAAACAGCACTTCAGTAACATCAGGAGTTTATCAAGAGTACACACCACAAGAATAAAGCAATATAAAAATGCCATTACTATCTGGAAGTAAACCACAGGACAGCAGCAGCAGAATAAGGAGGAGGAGGAGAAGAAGAAGAAGAGGAGGAGAAGGAGGAAGAAGAAGAACAACAAAAACAAGAAGAAAGTAGTATCTTTGATTTGTTGTGAAAGACTAAGATGTACACTATAACATCTAACCTTCCTCTAAAATAAAATACTGAACCAACAAATACATTAAAACACTATATTACAAGGATAAAGGTTTGCAATTGAGGTGTTAATAAAACAGAATAATGGCACCCCAGATCACTTTAAAAACTCTCAAGGAAAACTTATGCAATATGATTTTTACAAAAAAAAAAAGTGCACTTAAAATAAATTAAACTTAATCTATACTGCTAAAATCTGTAACAATTAATACAGTCTATGCAAAAAAAATAACAAAGGTAATTGATAAAAATAAATATTCAATACTGAAACAGAAAAGAAATTTATATATGCCTATTATAACCCAGATAGGTTGAACAGTAGTCATAGAAAATACAACCAATAAACACATTTTATTAAAATGTTCTTAAGACTACGAACCGTTCACATCGACTTAGCCACAGAGCCGACATGAAAAGAGTAATGAAGATATTTTGAAAGAAACTGACTCACAAAGAGAACTGACTGCCCAGATCAGAAGGAGATTTTTGGTTATGTCATGAGAACGAGAAAATTGGAGTACATCATTATTATGGGAAAGTTGGAGGCAAGAGAGGTGGAGTGCTGGATTGTCTAACATCATGACAAGGAAGATCATCTGAAAAAGAAGAAGAATTTGACACACAAGCATAACTCATCATCAGTAGTAATAGTAATATTTTAAAAATATCCTTATTTAACAGTCAAGGTTATAACTGGGGGTATATAGTGTTAATCAAGAGAGTATATGTTTGTTATTTCATATTTTATATATCGTGTAATTATTTATATAAGACAGAAATGTAATTTGTATTGTTTCACATATTGCTCACCATTACTGTGTTCAAAAGTAACAATTGCAGTTCCTTTAGTAAGCTCAATGTTCTCAATAGGGCCACCTCCTAGTTTCCGCTTGTTTGAGAACAACACTGAGATCTGACTCACTGTTGCATCCCGAGGGAGACCCTCAACTTTCAACTTTGTTGACTTCTTTGACATGTTTGGTGTTAGGCATCTATAGTCACATCCTTGATTTCAGGGGCACCACCTGTGAGATCGTGAAACATTTTAAATAACATTTATTTCATTAACTTTTTTGGTACTAGTAATGTGGTCAATATCTTCTTCTTCTTCTTCGTGTTCACCAGCTGTAAACTCTGCGGAAGGTTCTGGTTGCTCGTCCACTACTGAACTGCAGTCCTGCTCCAGAACCTGAGTGTTGTGTGTGCATCAGTTTTACAGATCTCATTCTCTTGAATACAGACTGTTGGTTCCTTGCCTCTCCGGCAGATGCACTCCGACTTCAAAGGAAGCTCCCCAATTAGTCGACTCTTACGACATGCTTTTGGGGAGGCAGTGGGTCTATTCTTGTTTTTCCCACAATGGGGCCCCGGAACCCACACGGGGGTGTGATCAGTATGATATCATCCACCTTTTCTTTCTAGGAGATTTTCTGTACTCGTTCTAGGCTGGGTCAACCTGACAGCAGAAGTCTATTGTAGAAATAAAATGAAGAAAGTTAGTTAGTTACACCTTTGGGTGTAATTTGTGTATACTGTGTTATCTATTGCCTAAAAAATTAGAACAATCCTGGAACGACATACCATTAAAAAGCTTACTGGCTGATTACAGACTAAAACTGAAATTGTAATATTATTACAAAAATAAAGTAATAAAAATGTATATGTACAAATTATATCTGTAATAACATATTAAAAAGTAAATTTACTAATGTGCACAACGTAAGTTGGTGTGGTGATGTTTTGTTTTAAAGCAAATATATACTATACGACATGAACCTAAAATGATATCTCTTGACACTTAAATGTGAAAATGAAACAACTGAGAACAACTCTATATCACACAACTTCCTAGTATAATTAATATTTCAGGAGAAAAGAAGAAATAATTTTTTTCGTTTCGAATCCGTCAAGAATTAAAGAAAAAAAAAGCATTGCGCCCGTTAGGTAGAATCTAAACAAATGCCATAATTCTGACAAAATACTCACTAAACATAAACTAATATAGCAATAAAAGACGCGCCAACATGCATGGGTAGTTTATGAGACTGTCGTCTCTTTAACTAAATCTTGAAGGGTGTAGGATGTAGTATCGTGGATGTAGGACGTCAGTTTCTCAGAAATACGTTATTAATAGCACCACGGTTTTATTTTCAGTTTCAGTTACCAACGCCGTTTATCTGTTTATCGAACTATATAGACTTTTAATATCCTCGCAAAAGCTAAAAAACATATCCCAAAATCTGTGGCACTATAAGTAAGCAAAGACAGCTTTTCAATTTTTTTAAAAATAACTAGCTTTTTTTTTTTTTTAACTTAAACAAACATGTTAAATACACTGACACTCTAGTCACTTTCACTTTTCATTGAGAACAATGGACGCAGTCATTCTGTTTTCTCCTTCAGCATTCAATATTAGGATTGCGGCTGGCATATTGTATTCCCTACCGTTAAGTTGCGATGCCTGAACCTTTCGACCCAGTGTATCAAGTTTCAACAAACCTTTATTTTAAGTTGCTCTTTAGAACATACCTTCAGGGGGTGGGGCAGTGGGTATATAATATACTTGTTTACCCCAAAATGGGGCCCCGGACTAGTGCCCGTATTTGTAACATTCGCCGAAACAGTTTTCTTATCACACCTGCACATGCAAAGCTCTAATGTGTGAAATTAGGAGTTGTTTGTGTCAAATTTAAGAGTGGATATTAATTAAACACTTGTTGTTTTCTCAATGTCAAATTGCAGTTCCGAAACCACGGCCCCGGGTATTACACAAAATGGAAGGGGAATTCCCAATATCCAACACGTAATCCATGGAATTTCCAGATGTAACGGCAACCAAAAGATGTATATTCTACGAATTATGATTACCATTCTAGGTAAAATATATGACAAAAAACTGGAAAATATTAAGTATATATCAGCTTTACAGAATACAATTACATTTACCAAAGTTATGGATTTTGCGGGGACAAGGCATTTTTCACTAATGCTATATTAATATACTTAGTCCACGTCGGACTCAACTCGAGTCGGACGTAAGTAGTCCTCTTTCAGACCCGAAGGATTATAGAGTTGTGCAGCTGGGCAGGCACCTGTCAGTGCGCGATGGAGTGAAGTTGAACACCTCTAGGATGATCACTATGCGATTAATACGCAGTGACTCAACGAGGCACTATACTGGTGAGAATTCCTCAGGTAGAAATGCAAGAAATACCGTTTAACCGTTTGTCACAGCCGATGGCCGGCCGACCACTGACGCTCAAAAAGTTGTTTCCAGCTACCTTTTGTGGACGCAAATTCCCCACTCCTGGGCAGTGTACTTTTGTGGGTGCGATGCCGGCTTTCGGGATTGACAGTTTCCGCCAATAGTGAGCTGCAATTCTGGTGTGGGACTGTTAGTTTCGGCACATCTGACAGCTGCCTTATGCATTTTTATTTTGCTTGAACAATCTTCTTGATTTTGCTGGGACTGACGCGTTTGCTAACTAGTTTTCAGATGGAACAGTGAAGCACATTTTGTGTTCTTACCACAAGCACAGGAACAGAGCAGTTACAGGGCGGGCCGTTGCAGTGATGGTGAAACATCAACTAACGACACAGTTATACTTGGGCACCCAGGGTTACCAAAGGCCCTGTCCAAAGCGCCGCTGGTGACTAAATAGTCCGATGCGAGAGTGACAATCTCTCAAACCCAACTATATTGGACTACATATTACTTCTTAACTGTCCAGGGGTGCTCCAGTATAACTGTCTTAACTGTGGTTGCCGGGATTTGTACAAGACTGAATCGTATTTTTGATGTATTTTATCTCTGTCATAATTTATGTCAGCATCTGTAAGATGACTGCATTTTATACTTGTGTCACTTGTCAATAAGAAAGAGACAAACACTGTTATTTGGCCACATAATGACATGAAAGACATTAGAGAACATCGTGACAACTAGAAAGATCAGCAGAAAGAGGGGTAGAGGCAGACCAAGAGAGATGATGCTGGATGGGCATCAAGAGAGCTGCTCCAGTCAACCAAGGATCGTGATCTGTGGAGACGCATGAGCGCCTGCGCCAGTTGGCATGATACATGATAATGATGATGTCACTTGTCAGTTTGTTGGATCAGATCAAAGTGCATCGGAAATATGTTATCCAGGAATGACTGTCTGCTGCAACCCTGTCCCATATTTTTTTCGTAGTACGCCAAGGGTTTTCATATTCTGTTTACAGACAGCATCCTTTGGATATTTTGTCCAAACAGGACGTAAAGAAGAAGAAGAGGATATTTTGTCCAGGTCATGCCGGTGTGTTGGAAAATGAGCAGTAAGATAGACTAACTCGCCCTGTACCACTTGGTATTGAATTGATGTTTGATTAGTTAGATATTGTGAGGGTCCTTTGGGAGCGAGTAAACAGTGCAGAGGCGCAGACAGATCATAACGGTCTAAGGAAAATAGCGCTGCAAGGAGTTACCAGGGGATCTGGCTGACGCTCAACACTCAGGGAAAGGATGAGACGAATATACAATCAGACGGTTACTGGTACCATCGGAATTGGAACTCTTCGCTTGCCGTTAAGAATTGCGACTGAGCACTTATGGGAGTGTCCCGAGTGTTGTGATATCGATTCTTAATTCAACATTTTGTTTACAGATACCCTTTATTTGATTAGCTGATCGTATATGACAAAGTGGGATGAGGAGGAGCAAGTGAGATAAGGAAAAAGATAAAAGAGCGGTTGAAGAAAATACTTCAGAAGAAAAATACCTAAGACAAGGAAAAACTAAGCTGTTCGCTTACCACAAACCTTGTGTCCATCTTTTAAAAGGAATTATAGATAATACAACATAGTGAACAGAAATACAAACCGCCTGGTATATTAGATTAGTAGCTGGTATATTAAAAGTAACATAAAGGACCCATTTCAAACCACCTGGTATCTTAGATTAGTTACTGGTATATTAAAAGTAAATAAAGGACCCTTTCAAACTACCTGGTATAGAAGATTAGTAACTGGTATATTGAAAGTAACATAAAGGACCCCTTTCAAACCACCAGGTATCTTAGATTAGTTACTGGTATATTAAAAGTAGAGTTGTACCGAATATTCGCTTCGTATTCGCTTCGGGGCCAAACAGAGGACCTATTGACTGTTCGGTATTCGGCCGAATAGTTGTGGTCGGGCCGAATTCGAATAATAGTTACCTTACACCCGCTTCTGCATACACAGCTTAATGCTGATAACATGGAACGATTTTTTTTGTTGAAAGCTAATGCAGCTTTCCTGCATTAACTAAGCTGTCAGTGACAATTTCCAAGCTTATAATACTTAGAATTCTTTCACTCCTAGTTATTAGCTACCACAGACTGACTGAAGGATGCAGAACATAAAATGTTTTTTAATGTTTACTATTCTGTACGAATACTAACTAGACATGGAAAGAATATAAACTCCGGCCACATACAAGTCGATAATATGAAAATCAAACGAACGGAAACATAGGTACGTGGGTGCAAACTTCAACTGTTTCAACATGCTGAGAGAAGAAATATAATCTAAAATACAATCTAGAAATAAAGTGTACCATGCCCTTCAACATCTGCTAAAGTCAAAGTGTCTGTCTCACAACACCAAAGTCAAAATATATAAAACGTTGAAAAGACCAGTTGTTTTATTTGGCTCTGAAACTTGAAGCAGAAATAAAAGAGATGAGGCCTTATTACAGGTTTTCGAAAACAGTTCTACGACAAATCTTTGTTCCCCTCAAATATGCTAACAGCGGGGAATGGGGAGTCAGAAGCAACAACGTAACATATAATATGTTTAAATCACCATTCATCACTGGCATCATGATAGCTAACACACTAAAATGGTTAGAGCATATTGAAAGAATGTCAGATGACAGATAAGTAAAAACTGTATACACCTGAGAGAGGAATGGGCGTAGACCACGAGGCAGACAAATCATAAATTAGAGAGATAA